CCTGGAGCACCTCCTTCCCCTCCTTCTTCACTGACCTTGGTGTCTGCAGAGTTGTTCCTCTCACATATTCTCACTCCTCTCTCCGGCTGCAGTTGCTGTTGCGCAGCAGTTTTTTTCCCCTTCATAAATATGTTATCACAAGAGGCGCTACCACCGTCGCTGATGGGCTCGGCCTTGGCCAGTGGCAGGTCCGTCTTGAAGCCGGCTGGCATTGGCTCTATCAGACATGGGGGAAGCTTCTAGCAGCTTCTCACAGAAGCCACCCCTGTAGCCCCCCCACTACCAAAACCTTGCCATGCAAACCCAATACAAGTAGTGAACTGATTGTCTGCTTTTTGTAATGCAAATTTGGCAGTAACGAGAAGTTAATAACTTGGCTACTGTTCTCTGACAGCTTTTTAATAACTGTCACCGTCTTTGATACTGTTAAGGACGTTGGTTTACATCAGCTTGACTTTTTGTTTCTCTTACTTCTTTGGATCACAGTACTGCTCTTTTAACTTGTTTTATATCTATGCTTCATGCAAGTTAGTCTTGAGAACAGTGTTTTCTAAAGAACATGGGTTTCCATGTATAAAAGCGAATTTAGTTGGTCAAGGCACAGTGCATTAACTTGAAGCAGTCCAATGTGATCTTTTCCTTTTGCATTTGTTGAGCTGATCCAAATCAGTTCTTACTAATTTTAGTAAGAAGTGAATCTCTAACATTTGTCAGTCGGTGTTTTTATTTTCAAGCAGCATTACTGCTGTTTCACGTCAAAATTCGATTTTGCAGTGTTCCAGTATGTCATCAACATCTCAGTCAGTTCTAACTGTCTGTTAGAGTTGTATGCCGTTGGGACAAGAAGCCTTCAGTGCACATATTTCCCAGAGAAATCTTGTCAGTAGGAGAATTTAATTAAACAGCATGAGTCTGTACAAGCTGCCCACCTAGGGTGATGAGGATCAGAGGACTGGTGAGGATGTAGAGAGGCAAGACAATCTCTCACAGCAGAGGAGCATAGAGATGGAAACAGTAAGCAACAAACTGTCCAAATAGAATAGCTGTGAATGAGTAAATAATTGGTTTAGACTGTGTTTGACTAATACTGCGTGAACATGAGCAGGGGATAAAATTGCCTAATCCTTTGGAATATAGACAGGCATGTGGCTGCTAACCTGAAGCATGTGCTATAGTTAGCGTAATGATAAGGAATTTTAGACTTGGTTGTGATAGGAACTAGCAGATGAGGAGGGTTACTTTTTTGTCTTCAATTACATATAGCCAGGCTTTTCAGCCAGACTGGGTTACATATACTACTGTAGATATCTGCGATGCGAGTTATGTTGAACTTGGATGTCATAGAATCATAGAATCATTGAGGTTGGAAAAGACCTCTAAGATCATCGAGTCCAACCGTCAACCCAACACCACCATGCCCACTAAACCATGTCCCAGAGCGCCTCATCTACACGTCTTTTAAATACTTCCAGGGATGGGGACTCAACCACTTCCCTGCAGCCTCTTCCAATGTTTCACCACTCTTTCAGTAAAGAAATTTTTCCTTACATCCAATCTAAACCTCCCCTGCCGCAACTTGAGGCCATTTCCTCTCGTCCTATCGCTTGTTACTTCGGAGAAAAGACCAACACCCACCTCGCTACAACCTCCTTTCAGGTAGTTGTAGAGAGCGATGAGGTCTCCCCTCAGCCTCCTTTTCTCCAGGCTGAACAACCCCAGTTCCCTCAGCCGCTCCTCATAAGACTTGTTCTCCAGACCCCTCACCAGCCTCGTTGCCCTTCTCTGGACACGCTCCAGCACCTCAACGTCCTTCTTGTAGTGAGGGGCCCATGTCACGTAATCCTCGGTCTTGTGTACAACTTGCACACTGTTATTTTTAATAGTCTGTTCTCAAACAACATAAAGCAAATACAGAATCCTTGCTCCCACCTGCATTTTGGTGGTGCAGCCCTCTGAAAGCGGGAGCAAACTATCATGTAGGTCCTTTCTCCCTGCCCTCGCTGGAATAAAGGATACAGTCAAGGAAAAGGAGTATAGCCATATGCCAGTGTGCTCAACTGTCATAGTAGCTGTTAGAAATGCCGCAGCATGATGACCTTGGCATGAACAAATAAAATTGTTGTGAGGCTGGCGGCACTTACGTCTGACTTACAGCCAGTGCAGTAGTATTTCTGCATTGCAGTAAAGGCAGTCACAAACAGTTCTCAAAAGTCAACAAAACTTTGCATTTCAAAGCTAGAGGGAAGAAATTTTGTATTTTTTCAACTTCTCTCTGATAAAGAAATTGGCTGCTTTCCAATTTGTTTTGCAGGTATGTTGCCAGCTGGATAGAAACAAGGAGATACCAATCTGAAAAGGCTAACTTGACTGTTCTCTTTGATAAATATGTGCCTCCTTAGTTAGAACAACTTGGAACAAGATTTAAAACTGTTACTCCTATTCCTGAGAATAGTATGGTTCAGGTATGCATTAGGATTAAAATTATTTATATTTTAAAAAACAGTATTTCTGAAACATCCACTGAGCATGTGGTCCTAGGCAGGAGTAAAAATGGTTAAAATTACTGTGTGTCTGAAACGTATGTGAGGTGAAATTGAGAGGCTCTTATATATTGACTCTGGACCCTTGTTTTGGAGACCTACAGGGATTCAGATGTTTTGTATTGCAGCGGTCCACTGTAACAAGAAGAAATGTAGTGTGTTTACGGCACTGCACGTAATTCCCTGACTTCTCAGTTCTTGTGTTGCTTCTGTTAGCGATGTCTTAGGTAGCTGAGGGCTAGCCATTTCATCTCTCTACACAAGCATTCTGCCTCTCTCTCATTAAATGCTCACTAAATTCATTAGTGTTAGTTACTCTCATACTCTGATAATGAGGCCCTACGTTATTAAACATTATTAAAGAATGGAGCTGAGCTCTGTTTCATATATAAATGATCTGATACTGCACATCCTTACATTAACATTTTAAATTTACTTAATATGCCTTGTCATTCTAAACTCTTCTGAGTGTTTGCCTGCTTCTAGATAAGTCAATATGAGAGGAGAAAATTAATTATTGAGTATGAGTGTTAAGAATTTGCCATAACATACATGCCTGAGCTGTGTAATCTTCTGCATATACCTTGCTTTAAGTAGTGTAGAATGAAGGTATTTTGGTGCCTTTTATCAGAAGACCTCTTCATGCCTTTGACCTCTGAAAGGATCCTAGACAATAAGGAAGCACAGCAAGGAGTTGCAGTCTCACTACTTACATTTAAATACCTTCTTGAGGTCACTGTCACCTTCCTATGGAGTAAGACTCACAGGTCACTCTCTTCACATATTTTTTTTATTGCAGACGTTCTGTTCTCTGCTGGATTGTTTTCTGACCCCTGAAAATGTGCCAATGGATTGCCCCAGAGAGCTCTATGAGATATATTTTGTCTTTGCTTGTATTTGGGTGTTTGGTGGGGTGCTCTCTCAAGATCAGGTAAGTTAATGAAAATGCCCACAGTATCACTGTGCTTGAAAAACAGATATAATATATATACAGATATAATATATATACACACCTACCTACATATTTAAACAGATATAAATACATATGTGCATCTGTGTGTATATATGTACATGCAGGTTTCTACTCACTAATACTGATAGGGGGTGCAGAGCAATGGCCCATGCATCCAATTTGTTGGCCTGTAGTACTGTGCACTTTAGCTATCAGAGCTCATCTGTAAATGAGCTAACTTGACCGGAGGGAGCTGCCTGCCTACAGTGCAAGACTGCATGCAGAGTCATTTACCATGCATAGAGAAGCTGTGTTTACTTAGGGAAGTGTTACCAGCTATACTTTTTTATCTATACTAAAGTCCCTGACAAGCAACAAAAAGTAATATGAGGGTCATGCCTACCAGAATTAAAGCATTTAGTAAAGGGCTGGACAGATGTATATTTAATCTCACCTGCTGGATTTATACTGAGAAACGTAGATATAAGTAAGGCATTATAATGCATTTCCCTTAGTGAGATTTTTTTTGTTGCGATGCTATAAAGGTTTGAAGAAGAAAGTAATAAAACTCTACAATTATTCTCAGTGTTTTACTTAGATGGACCTTGATTTCTTGAGAAATATCTAGTCATACTTGCCTATTAAACACTGAAAAAAAAAATTGGCTTTACTGCTGTTTAAATTAGATGAAGCCCTTGTGAAGGAATAAATTTATACATGCATCATCCACAGATAAAGGAGCACCTTGCATAAGTTGAAGAATCAGAAGCAACACATTATTACATCAAGAGACTGGGAAGATCTTTTTGGTCATATTGACATCTGTTTTCCTGTCCTTCAATGGCCTCAAGTTGCGCCAGGGGAGGTTTAGATTGGACGTGAGGAAAAATTTCTTTACGCAAAGAGTGGTTAAACATTGGAACAGGCTGCCCAGGGAAGTGGTTGAGTCACCATCCCTGGAGGGATTTAAAAGACGTGTAGATGCGACGCTTAGGGACATGGTTTAGTGGGCATGGTGGTGTTGGGTTGATGGTTGGACTCGAAGATCTTAGAGGTCTTTTCCAACCTTAATGATTCTATGATTCAAAAAGACTTGCTGTTCTGTGGACATACTCAGGAGGGTCTTGTCTGAAGCAAGTCATCTCTGTGGTCTCACAGCTATATAAATTTAAACTGAATTTAGAAGTTTTAGGAAATAAAATATTTGGGCTGGATATGTGGTGAGTTAGCCTTGATGAACAGCCAAACACCCGTCCAGCTGCTCTCTTGTTCCCCCTCCTCAGCAGAGTAGGGGGAGAAAATAGGCTGAAAAAACTTGTGGGATGAGATGAAGACAGGGAGATTGGTAAGCAGTTACTCTCATGGGCAAAACAGACTTGATTTGGGGAAAATTTAATTTAATTTGTTGCCAATTGAAATGGATTTGGGTAGTGAGAAACAAAGGCAAACATTAAAACAAAACCTTTCCCCCTCCCACCCCCCAAGCTCAGCCTCACTCCTTCACTCCTGACTGTTCTACTCCCCCATTCCAAGCGGTGTAGGTGGATGGTGGGTTATGGTCAGTACACAGTGGTTTCTCTCTGCCACTCCTTCCTTTTCACGCTTTACCCTTGCTCCAGCATGGGGTCTCCATGGGCTGCAGTGCTTCAGGGCGTCTTCACCTGCTCCAGCATGGGGTCCTCAGGGGGCTGCAGTGTGGGTATCTGCTCCAGCAACGTGGAGCTCCTCCTCCTTCTCCTCTTCCTCCTCCTCCTCCTCCTCTGACCTTGTTGTTCTGCTGTTTCTCAGTCTTTCTGCCCTTTCTTGAATATGTTTTCCCTGAGGCAGCGCCAGCTTGGCTGAGGGGCTCAGCAGTGTCCCGCAGTGGGTCTGTTGGAGCTGGCTGGAACCAGCCATGTCCAGCACAGGGCAGCCCCCATCCTCTCCTCACAGAGGCCACCCGCTGCCAACATCTTAACACCTGCACTCAATCCAGGATGTCATCAGAAGGTGGCCTGTCTTTAGCTCCTTAAACAGCAGGAACACTAAGATACTGCTTTGATGTTCTTGGTTATTTCATCACAGTCTACATGTATATGCATTTAAAAATAAGATTTATTTGTAAGTCTGTTTTTCATATGTGCTTCACATGAATGTCTAGATATGGAAAAATGTACTGTAAACAATTAATGCACCATTTTATAGCTTTCAAAATACAAAGCTTAATTCAGCTGCTGGTGTCTTAAGAAGATGAAAGCAGTGAAGTTTCCATCCCAGGGCACAGTGTTCGATTATTACCTTGATCCAGAGACAAGGAAGTTCCTGCCCTGGGTGGATAAGGTCCTGAGTCCTGATGTGGATCCAGATGCATCCCTGCAGGTACAGTGCACACCAGTGACCGCACGCTGAGCATTGCTAGATGCAGGAACATTTCAGGGTCTTGTCACGATTTCTGACATCATCTTAGATGTCCTGGAAGTAACACTCTCTAGATGTGTTTGGATAAATCTCCGCTATCTGGGCCACGTGCCTTTAGTTGAGCGTTGAGGATTAATGACCAAGTGACGCTTTTATTGATTTTTATATTAAAGCACTCCTGAAGACATACCATATTCAATTTGTTAGTGGTTTATACCCTTTTTCCACAGTAGAAGAAATTCAGGCTCCAAGTCCATTTAATCATTGAAAATAATGCCCACAGCAACTGTACACCACAAATTGAAGCCTTAACATTTTTCTATTGCCAGCTTTATGCACAGGTATTCTTTTGCTACCTAAATTCCCTTCTTACTAACAGAAGTGTATGAGGTGTAGGGGAAGCAAATCACTTTATCATCACCTTTCCACTATGCTCTTGATCAACTTACGAAGTTAGAGTTATATTTGGAATACAAATTGTAGAAGGTATGATAGTATGATATATACCTGTCAGTGGAGAAATAGAAAGCATGAGCTATTAATTGTAATTGCCTCAGTTTGGGGGTTTGGTTGTTTTTGTTCTTTTTTTCAGTGTGATTTGCACAGAATATTCTCAAATGCTTCATGGTGTTTTGATTGCATTAGCTTCTACGTCTTTTTCTTTTTAAATGCTTAGATGAGTAGGAATTTTCCTGGGGAGATTAGAAGTTTGTGGGCATAGAAACATGGAGCTGATGATCAAAAGACATTATCTGTTATCAGCTATCCTGTAACAAGTTCTCTTTAAGGGTTAATACTTGATAGGAAAATACAGAGCTTGGAAAAGAAAGCTTTACTAGGCAATGAAGGTTTTAGATGCTCACAGTAAGTAAAGCTAATCTATGGCCAACTATTTGCCCAAACAGTTTTCAGTATGCTGAAAGCCAGGCCAAAAAGTAAATGGAAATACTAACTGAAAAATTAAACCAGCTACCTGTTGCACCAGCCTTTGTTTCTCTACCAGTTTTTGGGAGACTGGCATTCTGTAAAGGTTGATATGGAACCAACGCATTTCAGCTACAACCTCATTTCAAAATCTTCCTACTAGAAGAAATTGAATACAAATTTTCAAGTAGAAATGCTGTGTAAAAAGTAATCCAGTAGAACATTTTGTTCTAGTAATTATGTTTAAGAACAAGAGAACGGTGTATCCCGTTTCATTGCTTTTTAGAATTCAGTCCTAGCCAGAGAGAGAGAGAGAGACAGAAATTACTGTTTGCTTTTAAAACTAAACTGTGTTGTGCAAGTGTTTGATGTTTTTTTTCCTTTTTAATTTCAGGCAATCTTTGTTCACATATCTGAGACTGCACATCTCGAATATTTTATTGATTTACTCTTAACAAAAGGCAAACCAGTCATGCTTGTTGGAAACGCCGGAGTAGGAAAAACAGTGTTTGTAGGTGATAGGCTTGCTGCTCTCTGTGAAGACTACCTCCTGGCTAACATCCCTTTCAACTACTACACATCATCAGCAGTGCTCTAGAGTAAGCTCCATACGGATGCAAGAAACCTATCTTCCCTCAACAGCAAAGGTGAAAAATATTATGCAGTTATTATGATCTCATTACAACTGTTGGCTACTGCCGTTGTCTGGATCTTGGCAAGCTCATCGCTTCACAAAGTGGAAAACTTAGCGAAGTTGGGCCAGGCAATAGGAAAGGAGGAGGATGAACCTGTTTGGGGCAAACTGGCACTGACAATGTGGTCCCACAAGTTGCTCTGTGCTTGTGGACGAGAGAAAATTTGGCTTTACCTATGTTAACAAGAAGCCTTGAGCCAGCTTTTGCTAGCCTGGGTGTCTTTGCATTGTGCCTGTAGATGTACCAAAAAGGACAGTCAGGAGTTGGGCTTGCTTTTGCTAGGCGCTGTACGATCCCCGGGTAGGGGCAGTCCCTGTCTGGAGAAGTTTGGAGTCTCTGTAGGCAAGATGGATGCAGAGCAAAGGAAATGTTAATATAACACACAAGCAGCGGGGGCTGTATGTTGGCCAAAAACATTACACTGGTGGTAGGTTTTGGAATAAGAGGAGTCATACAGTCAAAGTAAAATAGGCTTGTAAAAGCTCTGTGTCTCCTGCTTTTCATGAAAAGCAGCACAATCAAGGGAGATACCAGCTGCCAGTGGATGTGCCCTCTTGCCTTCTTTTTTTCATCTTTACAGCAATTTGAACTGTTACAACTATACAGAAAAAATGACATGCCCTATTCACTGTACAGCTTTTTACAGCTGTAAAAAGCACTAGAGAAAGAAGTTAATACAACTGTCTTATCCTCTCATATGTCTGGGCAAAGATACAGAAAACAATGTCTTCCTTTTAAAAACTTTCCAAAATGTAAGGAGTCTACAGATAAAATCTTTAGAAGTATTTAAGTTTGCTTGATGCTTCATCTAATTGCTTATGCAATCAAATTTTTAATTTTTAGCCAAACTACATTGCTGCTAATGGATCAGATTGTCACTAGGCTTAAAAACATAAGTATAAATCCACAAATGTCTATTGAATAACCCTTTACCCTGCTTTTTCTTTCCTGTCTCCTGTTGATTTCTTCTGTATTCAGGTCAGATAAGCAAATACCGCTTTCAGTTTACTTTGTACCTTAGTTTATTCTTTGAAGTGTTTCCAAATTCATGTTAACTTAGAATCCTGCATTAACAGAACTTAATTGCCTTTTTGCCCCTCAAAATGAATGGAGAGATTTGGGGAAAAGAAGTCTGCTATGCGTCAGAGCGAGATCATGAACCGATGTAAACTGTTACAGCTCCTCTAATTGGGAATCAGCCTTAAAAGGTTTTCAGATATTCCTCTGTTCTGAGAGGGACTTTTTAGCTAATGATTGCCATTCCAGCAGCAACCATGGCCGAGGCACTAGAGCACAAAGGCATAACATTTTCCATTGCAAACAGAAGCTGATGAAAGGAGCTCCTAGGCAGCAAAGGTTGTGGATTCTTGCAGGAAACGTCTTAAATAAACCAAACAGGTGAAGTCAGCACTACAGGGGCTTTCTTTCCAAGAGTATCACACCCACCAGCTGTACTGTGGTATAAAACTGGGAAGTTTATGAACCTTTAAGGATAAAGGTTAACGGATAACCGTCTGGAGAACAAGTCTTATGAGGAGCGGCTGAGGGAACTGGGCTTGTTTAGCCTGCAGAAAAGGAGGCTGAGGGGAGACCTCATCACTCTCTACAACTACCTGAAAGGAGGTTGTAGCGAGGTGGGTGTCGGTCTCTTCTCCCAAGTAACTAGCGATAGGACGAGAGGAAATGGCCTCAAGTTGCGCCAGGGGAGGTTTAGATTGGATGTAAGGAAAAATTTCTTTACTGAAAGAGTTGTTAAACATTGGAAGAGGCTGCCCAGGGAAGTGGTTGAGTCGCCATCCCTGGACGTATTTAAAAGACGTGTAGATGCGACGCTTAGGGACATGGTTCAGTGGGCATGGTGGGGTTGGGTTGACAGGTGGACTCGATGATCTTAGAGGCCTTTTCCAACCTTAATGATTCTATGATTCTATGATTTGCTATGAAATGTTAGTAGTATTCCTTCAGATTTTAAGTCAAGTCAGTATTGTAAAACATCCACCGCTCCTTCTAAGGAATATTAAGAGATGAACAAAGAAGTGGACTCCTCTGGTTGTCTGCTGCTTTTCAGCCAAGTCCCTCTTGTTAAATGCTCTATTAACAAGTCCCTCCACTAATCACAGCAGGTGAAGAACTGCATGACAATTCAGAAACAAATATATTGTGTTGGCTTTCCATTGTGTTTACAACATTTTTTTGGTGAGCTGTGGTGGAATGATTTTGTTCTGTCATGTATAGCTCAAAATGACTGCCTCTTACGTTATTTTTGTGTTTGAGTGTACCAATGCTTCTTCCTATAAAATGTGTTCAAGTGATACACTGAAATGCCTTCCTTATGTGTTTTAGGCTACCACTCCAAGCAATTGTTTGGAACAACCAAATTGTTGGATTTTTTTTTTAATGGAAAGAGGCATTCACATCAAATTACACAAATGAGCAATTTAAATTAAGTCTCAGTGTAAAAAGAAGAGCTTAAGAGCTGAACTTGTTGAAGTACAGTTATTCACTACATTGCCATGTTCTTTCCATGGTTTAGAGGTTGAAAGATTTTTCTTACAGATCATATCACTTTTAATCTGCAGTATTTTCTGCCAGCTCCCATCTTAGCTGTATCCATATATCTTTTTTTTGAGCTATATGCTAGAGTGGGTGAGATTAGCATGTAGTGTTGGGTTTTATTTAGCATTCCCCCAAGGCATATGACTCACTCGCTCTGCCTCTAGAACAGCAGAAAATTTCAAAATGTTACTTGATGGAGGCAGGTTCTGATGCAAACTAATATTGGTACATTAAGTTCAGGGTCTTCAGTAGTACTAAAGTCTGGAACAGTGCCACAGAGAAGAAATTTGCATAAACATTTATGTACAATGGAATTTAGTACAATGTATTTCCTTACTGTACTGCAATAATACAGTATTTTTAAAAATATAATAGGAGTAATAGATTATAATTGTGGACACTATTTAAAATTTAGGTAAGGTTAAGGATCAAGAAGGAGTATTCCTAATTTGGGGTTTAAAAGTACAGGTATATATGTACCTCAGCTAAAAGAAGAACAAAATCTTCTTTTACGTAAGATTTTAAAGTAATTAAGGTACTCTAAACCTTTCGTATGCATATAGTTTCTGCAAAAATTTTTTTCTCCTTTGTGGTAGAAAAGCAGGATAAGTGCAGTCATGGCTTTTTTTCCCCCCAAATTTATGATCATCCAGTTGCAAATATGTTAAGGTTCTACATTTCTATCTTGTCCTCCAGCACACCTTCACTTTTTATCTGCTTACTTTTCTTCTCCACAGTCAGTAACCATCCTTTTAGCTGACTGTGACTAGATGGAAATGTCCTTGGAAGCATTTGGTACCTTTCTTGAACTGGCCAGACAAAATCACTGTTGAGGTTTGCAGATGATATATTTCACTGTTTGAAGAATCTAAGATGACAACACAATACTCTTTTTGTCCTAATGGAAACTTTTTGCAGTGATATATTTGTTTATACTGCTTTGCCTAAGAAACCAAGAAGTCTGCTGCAAGTCAGAACCACAGCAGGGCTATGACATACAGCATTCAGCTGTCACTATGCAAGTGCAGTTTCCATTTCTTACCAGCTCTCGTGAACATGTTGCCCAGTTTTTAAAAAAAAACCAACAAAACAAGACAAGTTCAGAACCATATGCTTACATTTCACTTTGTTTTTAATCTAAACCAAAGGTTTTTAACATACAGCCTAATACAATGGAAAAAAGGAAGAAGTCTGTAGTCTGCATTTTTTTCCTATTCTACTTATTATACATGGAACTAATTTTTTTTTTTCTCCTCACCCTCCTTTCTTTTTGACAAATATTAAAGTAAAAAAAAAAAAGTGGGCTTGGTCATCTCAAAACCAATAGCAGGTGTAACCCAGATTAACGACACTATTTACTAGACAAAAAAAATCTGGGCTAGATGCACAAAATTTTTGAGAAATCTTTTTTCTCTTGCCCAGCAGTATTGAGTGAGAAATCTCATGCATATGAAATCTGAATTAAATTCTCTCCTGTGCTGCAAGGGTTGTAACCACCACCTTCCCTAAATGTTTCATAACCACCTTTGGTTCAAATCCCTGCTCTGAATGAGGCAGAGAGTGCTTTTGAAATTAGGCTGCTCACCAAAAATGAGAGCCTCAGTCACTGGGACATGCTGAAAAGTTTTCCTTGAAGTCCATGTATTACTGTGGTTTCATTTTGTGCAAAACGTTTATGTGATCATTTAGACAACAAAAATATATGACTGAGGAAGGAAGAGAGATGAGATTCTTTGTTAGTTTCCAGTCCTGCTTTAATAAATTCCTAATGATTTCTGCAGGTTCTTATTTCTATGCACAAAATAGAAACAGTGCAATTAGAAATCAAACTTCCATGGATGATGAATGCTTTCTTGTGAATCTGTGGAATACTTCACAAAGTGGCAAAAGTTGAGGATCACATCATACCAAAGTTCAATATTTTAATAATGCTTAATACAAGTGGTTTTCTTCTATATTTTCAAGATGACTTAGCAGCTTTCTGTAGTTATTCTTGCCCTTACACCTCTAAGGGAAGCAGTGCAGTTGGATAAAAATTGTATAAACTCAAAATTTATGACTCAAGATTTTACAGTTCTGATGAATACATAAGGGTATTTGAATTAATTTGTTCACTGTTGTAGTAATTTTGTTATCCGATGGTCTGCATTCATCATCATGTAAGCACCTCATTTTGGGGAATAGGCTGAAATTTAATGCAATCAGCTTAATATGTCCTTAGTATGGGAGATGCCACACTAGTTTCCTGATTAAATGTCCTGATTAAATGATATTTTATCATTCATATTTTTACATTTTACATATGGTAAAGTCCTTGTTTAATCCTTCCCAAGAGAAGGGGAAAATAATCTACTTCACTGATATACTTGCTGAGTGTCAGGATACCTGGGAATTTCACATTCAAAGCATTTCAGTTCCAAAGGATGCAGATGGATATGCAGTGAGATTTTTCAAAAGCTGTGAAGTAGTCAACCAACTAAATCAACAAGACTCTTCTGGAATTCAGAATCCCAGTGTGATGTTTGTTCAAGGGCACTCTGTGAGTTTCACTGATTACTAAGGACTTCAATAGTTCAAAAACCCTTGTAGGTGGTGAAATGTTTCATAAATTTTAGCCAGCATGATTTTGAATTCTTGATTTGTTTAGTTTCAGTATTGCTTAGTATGGTAATCATTTTTATGTATGTTGTGTTACATTTCAGAAATGCTTGGAAAAAAGCTGGAGAAAAAAGCTGGTCATAACTATGGCCCAGTAGGAAATAAGAAACTTAACTATTTTATTGATGATTTGAATATGCCTGAAGTGGATAGATATGGAACAGTTCAACCTCACGCGTTGATTTGGCAGCATATAGATTATGGACACCGGTGAGCATTTACTTCTTACTTAACGTTATGCTATAATTTTTATATTGTGGTTCATGATGGGATCTCTAAACCACATAGAAACAGGAAGCTTCCAAGAAAATTGCTTAAACGGAAAAGCATACTGTCCCTGGAGGTTATAAACAGTTTTAGAAAAGAGAAGCATAAAGTGAAGGGGCTGTAGAGAGTCTCAGAAGGAAAGTATCCTTCAGCTGCTCCTGATGGAGCTGCTGGATGTTGACCCTATTGATTGACCTGATAAGAACAGGCATGTATGAGAAACATAAATTGATTCCCTAAATTGCAGCCTGCCAAATGTTCAGCTTATGCTACCACCTATCTTTCCATCACCCTGTAAAGACAGCAGACGAAATCCACATAAACTTTATGGTACTGGTTCAAATGAATGATCTTTCTGTGCCGTGAGAAGAAAAAAACACAGATGATGACCACTGAAGGATAATTAAGTTGGTTTGGGCAATTAAAGTAATTCTTTTCTTACTTTCCAAAGGACAATTTAATTTTTTGGCGGTTAAAATATATTAATATCCATTTTTAAGAGTCTGTGGAAGGAGAAGGTCTTCAGTTTAAAATCAACTGATTTAGTGTTTCATTTTGTTCCGTTACAGGAGGATCTACATCTTCTGTAAATACTTAGTTGTTACTATAAGTGCATATTAGATTCTTGTTCATATACAAGCATGTCACGTGACATGAAGAAAACGTGACATACAAAGAAAATATTGTGAATGATCTGGTGGGTAAAGGAGAAAAGTAATCAAACATTAAAAAAAAAGTTAAATGCACATCTGTCTGTGTATTGTAGCCTTACAATTTTTGTTTCAGCAAGGGTGGTTCTTTTCACTGGCACGTACGCTGTGATCTGACTATAATTGTGACCAAGGCGAGGCAATAGCATCTGTACTGTTCTTCCATCTTTTAATGCAGATCCAGTTGAATCATATAAGCTTTTCACTAGGTCGTACTTCATCTCATGAGGGAATGATACCAGCTGAATATCTTGTTAAGGAATGAGATGTAAAGAGAAAAAAGGAAGTGACTGCTCAAATCTGAAGCATCTCTAGCTCAGAGAAATCAGTCAGGTCTAATTCAGTGACATGCAAAGCTAACATCTCAATGCCCTTCTGTTTTCTTCCCAGAGGTATAAGCTATTCTAGCCTGGAATCTTTTTGTTTTCTCACAAAGATTTCAAACTTCAGATCTTAACAGTTCCTACTGCTAAAAAACTGTTGATGCTTCTTTCTTTTGAATTGTTTTGAATTGTTTCTTTTGAAACAAAACCAAATGAAAAAATTAAAAATCTCCATTTTTACAAAACAAATCAAATTAGGAAAAAAGTTGACCATGCCATTCAGGAATTTTGAACATAACCATCTGAGAATTCTAATACAGAGTAAAGTTTGTTGCAGATGAATGGAAAGACGGAGAATGTATTCTACTATGAAGTTCTGGGGAGGATTTGTTGATTTAAGCAGGGAGCGCCTGCATTATTTATGAGGTTTTCTTTTACTGTGCTTTTTTAAAGATGGTAGCTGCTTGGCCTAGTTCAGTTGTAGGCTAACTTCTAAAGAAACAACTCTGCCTTCAGATTTGGGCAATCAGAACTCAAATTGCCAGCTACTGAATGCATGTATTCTACTATGAAGTTCTGGGGAGGATTTGTTGATTTAAGCAGGGAGCGCCTGCATTATTTATGAGGTTTTCTTTTACTGTGCTTTTTTAAAGATGGTAGCTGCTTGGCCTAGTTCAGTTGTAGGCTAACTTCTAAAGAAACAACTCTGCCTTCAGATTTGGGCAATCAGAACTCAAAATGCCAGCTACTGAATGCCTCTTATTTATTTGTTTGTTTGTTTAAAGCAACCTCCTTTTAATTCACCTGGAGCTATGTCACCTGGAGAGCCAGAAACAGTACCTATTGGATGCTGCTGCAAAAAAGGGAGTGACCTTTTAAGCCTGCCACCTCCTACTCTGTGATGTTTTCTCTTAGGTGTGCTTAGTGACAGTTGTTTTACATAGCTCTCAGAGGCATTTCTTCATACGTGCCAAGATGATCTTTGCTGTTTTTTTCTTATTGAAATCTGTTCATTTTGTCTGCTCTTATCTATCATGGTTGTGTGCATTCTCAAACTGATTTGAACTTCCTTTGACCGTGTTGTACTCATCCAAGTTGGTTTGGAGCCAGTTTCATTCAAAAATCTCTATCATCGTCAGAATGCTTTGTGAGAATGTAATATCTTCATTTCCACAAAAATGTTGAACAAAAGATTATGTGATAGAAATTGTAGGATTTTTCTTAATTTTAAAATGTCCATCCTAATTTGATGCTTGTATTCCAGATTCCCCATAGGGCAGAAATGTTGATTCTTCCACTGAGGTTAAGCCTGGAAAACATACAGTATTTTGTCACTACTATTGATCAAGCTCCATTTTCTTTCTCAGGTATGATAGGCGAAGCTAACTATTAAAGAAATTCATAATTGTCAGTATATTGCCTGTATGAATCCAACTGCTGGCAGCTTCACTATCAACCCTAGGCTCCAGGTATGGTTTGAAGTGTCATGTTTTAGCAATCCTGTATTTAATACGTGACATAATTACTATTTAGCTTTTCACTGCAATAGGTAGGAGACGAAAGGGGATAGGAGAAAACATAGTGTCTGAAACTTAGTATAGGTTCAAGATCCTGCTGTTCCTATAGCTAAACAGAAGGAGACAAACCATATTTATTACGATATTGAGATTCCCCTGAATTTCATAGCAATTGCAGTCTCATGGGGTCCTTCACCTGGCACCTGGCAGATGTGCCCTTGGGGCTCATAGCCAGACATGCAACTGCTGTGGAACTGCATCAAGGATGAGGCTAGAAATGAAGTATTTTCTGTGACACACAAGTAACTGTATTTTCAGCAGGCTGTACTGTCATTTAACACTTCATTGAATCTTAACTGCTGTCTGATGCTGAAGAATCTTTATCTCCTTTTCCCTTTTGATTTTTCGGAGATGTTTTGCAGTATTTGCTTTGAACTTCCCTTCTTCAGATTCCCTGACTATCATCTGTAGCAAGATAGTTTGCTTCCACTTCCAGCAACATGCTTTTACTCCATCAGTAATCAAGAATATTCCAGCCATAGTACAAGCAGCCATATGGCTTCACCAGGCAGTGGTTCAAAACTTCCCACCAACTGCTATTAAGTTCCACTGTATCTTTAACATGAGAGACCTCTCCAATGTCTTCCAGGTCTATATCGTGGGTTAATTTTCTACCTAACAACACTCTATTATTGCTGCTTTTTATTATTTAATGACATAAATTGGCTAGCGGACCAATGAAGAACAGATGGTCTTTGTACAAAGTAGAAGATAGTCCCTGCCCTGAGGTGACTATGGTCAGGTAGATGAAAAGGGTAGAAAGCTGGGAAAGAAAAGATATTTAGTGGAAATAGAGTAATGGTTTGCAAAGTTTGCTATTATTTTGAGAAGAGAAGGTCAACATCTGTTCAGAGGGAAGAACAGCTTTCTGGAGACTAGGTAGAATGAAACAGAGATTGAAGAAGCTCTGAAGCAGGGGCTGAAACCATATATTATCTTGAATATTAAGTGTGTGTATGTATGTGTATGTATATGCATGTATATTAAAAAATTGAATTAAGTTATTTTTCAAATAATGTTAAATTGCAGTCTCTCTTTGGGCTTCAGAGCATGTCAGTGAAAGAGCATGTACGTTTTTAACTGTGAGCACTGTTGGTTATCCAAATAAAAGTACTTGTTATCAGAATTAAACTATTGAAGAGTTAAGACACTTTAAATTGCAAGACATATATAAAACAGATATGCAAGTTTCATTTTGGTCTTTCTGTTGTATGGGGATGAGGGTTTTCACAGTCCAAACACTGCACGTATAAGCCAGGAAAGAAGTACGTTCCTCTGCCTTGATGTTCTCAGTTAAGTTCTGTTATGTATGCCTCTTGTTTCCTTAACTTGTCATTCATAATGAAATATAGTACCTCTCGGTATTGTTCATTGTATCAGACATGGCACAAGGAAGACAAAATAATGTCATGTAATATATAGTACATGTATAGTTTCTTCTGGAATTAATCTGTGTTGGTGCCAATACCAAGGATGAATTAGCTAGCGAGGACCTCAGTACTGTTTCTACTTGCCCTTCAAAAACTCTTCACTTGAAAGCAGACAAAGCAGCAGAAACATGAACTAAAATGAACATATTAAATGCATGTATATTTGATTTTTAAAAAAGAAAATAATTTTCCTAACAGGTGGGGAGGAGGAGGAAAAAAAAGAAAAAGGGAATGAGTATTTGAATTTATTTGACAAAAAATGGAAACAGGAAAACATCAGCTTTACTAGTCCTTTTTTCCTCTTCCTTTCTAATTTCTATTTGCCAGTAAAAAAAGGAGTGAAAAGAAATAGAATAAGAATAGGAATGAGGACACCAAAATGGAAAATTTAAAATATTTGGGAGTGTTTGAACCTAGATTCAACAGTGAATTCCTATCACAAAGAAATTATTGTTCTAGTTTTAAATAGTTTAGACATGAACAATTAAAGATATAGACAGCTTTACTAGTAGTTGTTTGGAGTCTGGCTGTTTGGAAGTACTGTGCAAATGCTTTGAGCCCATACTTGCACCTACTTTCAGTGTAGTCACAGTGCATGGGTACATCAGTCACTACACTAATGGAATTGAATTCCTATCACAAAGAAATTATTGTTCTAGTTTTAAATAGTTTAGACATGAACAATTAAAGATATAGACAGCTTTACTAGTAGTTGTTTGGAGTCTGGCTGGTTGGTTGGAATGTGCTTTTGAATTGTTTTGATACTTGCACCTACTTTCAGTGTAGTCACAGTGCATGGGTACATCAGTCGCTACACTAATGGAATTTTTTTTTCCATGAAAATATTTTTCATGTGTTGTGTTTGGGGCATTTTTTAACTAGTATTTTTCTCTCTCACTGTGTGGTAGAATGTGGAAGACCAAGTGTTGCTGCAATCTCCGCTCATCTATTGCCATTTTGCAAACGGCAGAGCAGACCCTTGCTACAAGCCAGTGAAAGGGCGGGAACCGCTGAGGAATATACTTGAGGAGTTTCTAGAAAGCTACAATGAAATGCATGCTTCTACCAACCTAGTCTTATTTGAGGGTGCCGTGCAGCATGTGTAAGTGGAATATCGATAAAGGGAGCAAGTAATTCATAATGATGCCACCAATGTTTGCATGAAGTTGTTGCTTTTTACTGTTCAGACTTGCAGTGCAGACTCATAACACTCTTACTGTGGAAGGCTTATGTGAGGGCACCACGCAGCAATAGTCCTGCTAAATATACTTTATTGGTGCCATTGTGGAAGAGTAGATTGTGGCTCAGTGTTAACCTCCGTTTCCTTTGTTTAAACAGAGATTCATCCTTTTTTGCGCTGCACAGAAATTAACACCACTTATTCTCTGAGGTTGGAAAGATAATCTATAATGCTGTAGATAGTTTGTCTTATCTTTTAGTTAGTTAGTGATGTAACAGGCTAAATATACTTTATTGGTGCCATTGTGGAAGAGTAGATTGTGGCTCAGTGTTAACCTCCGTTTCCTTTGTTTAAACAGAGATTCATCCTTTTTTGCGCTGCACAGAAATTAACACCACTTATTCTCTGAGGTTGGAAAGATAATCTATAATGCTGTAGATAGTTTGTCTTATCTTTTAGTTAGTTAGTGATGTAACAGGCCTTTATAAGAAAAATAATATTTACCTTTTGTTTCCAAGAAAGGGAAAATGCTTTCAGAATTGGATTAATTCAAAACAAGGACAAGTAATACCTTAAGCATATACTAAATTATGCCACTGCATGGCAGACTTGAAGTTGCTTTGCTGCCTAGCCTTGTACATTTTTAAATCTAAACCAGCCCAGACTTCTAAATGTCATCATAGATTTTTTTTTTTTTTAATTATTATTTTATTATACATAGATTTCTTTTCCATACGTGTTCTTACCTTATCTCAGTTTAAAGTAATTTGTTTTTCTCATGTCAGGCAATATCTTAGTATCCATCATGGCCCAAAATCTGTTTCTGTTTCTGAAATCTGATTAACTACACTTGCTTTGTTTTCCTGCATGGAAGAAAACCAGCCAGTTTTCAGAAGATGAAGTGAAGATTTTGCTGAATAAGTGAGGCACAGACTTCATTGTTGCTCCTTGTCATTATTTATAATCTTCCTTCAATGTATACAGTCGTTCTGGTCATGTATATCAGTGATTTCCAGAAAGAGACAGAGGCCCATGCTGGCAGAGCTTAGTTTTGTTAAAGCAGTTTCTATTATTTGCAGTGTCAAATCATTTAACATGGAACCTTTTCTTCTCATTGAGTTGGACTAGGATTTCAGTGTCATCGTTTTTCACTCTGCACATATTCAGACAGGAGCTATATAAGAGAAGGCAGTCTTTACAAAGCAGTCTATTGTAGAAGTTTCTCTCCAAGAGGATTAAAAACGAGCTTAAATTACAAAGATAATCATATGGATCTTTCATAGGGACTGTAGATTTTGTTCTGCTGATTTAGAGGTTGATGTGATAATCATCAGAACTGCAGACAGAAGCCTTCTCAGGTATCGCTAGTTTTGCTTGAAAATGTAGGTAAGCCATTATCTTCTCTCTGAAGTCTAGTGACCGAGAGTAGTATCCCAGTTTGGCAAACAAAGTGGCAGGGTGTCTTAGCCTTACAATTTGGCAGTCCCAGAAAAGCATATGTGAAATTAAATCCTGTAAATTTTTTCTGCACCTTTTATGGTTTTTTTTTAATGGATCCATTGTGAAATCATGAATAAGGCTGACAAAGCTCTACAGTGAGGTCAAAGAGAATTGGCTTCCAGTAATGTGTTGGTTGAACAGGTTTCTACATCTTTATTAGATGCAACCAGATTAGACACATTATCCCTTTATTTAAGAAGGTTCTTATCGATGTTTTTTCAGGGATGATTTTTTCAGTGGCATGAGACGTAAAGAGAATGAGGGGATTGCTTTTTGGTTTTTTTTTCATTGATACATGGAAGAAAAATGAAATAAAAGGTCCAACGTGCTGTCTCTAAGCTCTGGTCTGCTGATACTAGGCTGTAATCCCTTAGAATCTGCATCTGATTTTAAAAAATGGAATTTTGAAAATAATTTTTATATGTTTATATAAATGATTAAAATATCAATTGCAAGAGATTTAATGTTTCAAACACTTTTTTTGGGGGAAGAATTACCTCAATACTTACATTTGAAAATTCTAGCAACTAAATCTTGTCTAATTTTGGGCCAGATTCTTATCCTATAGTATTCCATGATCAGCAAATAAAAGCATGCCTTAAGTACTCTGGGCTAGATATTCCAAGAGTAAATTAAAGTTTGATGCATATTTTTCATGAAGTGATTCATCATCCTTCAGCCTTTGAGGTGCAAACTGCCAGACGTGAAATTCTCATGTGCTCCTAGGGCCCAGTCAACCTCCCTTCAAGTTAACTAGGTCTTTATTCTGAGTCCAGTCAGGGTCCATCAGGATCTTGGAATGATGCTTTGGAGCAGCTCAATGTAAAGAATGAGCAACCAGGCAGCTCTGGTCATTGTAGATGTCAGTGCAGACCTTCAATATTTGACAAAGGAAAACAGCTTTTCTTTCTGCTTGCTGAAATATTGGAAAGAAAGAAAATGCTGACGTGAAGATAATGTACCTTTAGGTGTCAGGAGCACATTACCACAAAAATAGACAAAAAAGAAAGAAGGAAAAAGAAAAAAAAAAAAAAAAAGAAGAAAGCTTGGTGCCATAAAAAGAAATTGAGAAACTTGGCTAACGAGGTTGTTGAAGTCTATGTTATGTTTTTTTGGGTTTTTTTTTGTCATCAGGTGCCAGATTGGTTGTATCCTAGAAGCCCCTAGGGGTTATGCACTTCTGATTGGAGTAGGTGGTAGCGGTAAACAAAGCTTGTCGAGGCTGGCAGCATACATCTGCTCCCTGGAGGTTTTCCAAATTACACTGAAGACTACACGATCCAGGACCTGAGGGTAAACGAATAGATATTGAGTCTGTTGAGTTCACTACTTGGAGAATGCGTTGTTTTGTCGTTACACGGGCTTGATAAAATCACAGGCAAAGCAGCATAATTTACAGTAACAACCCCTGTGGTTCCTGTGGTTTCCAGCTGTACCTCTCATTTTCATCTCTGAAAAATGGGTGGTCAAAAGGTATTTTAGTGTCTATTTATGTGCTTCACAGAACTTTGGTACTTTCTCCTCTTTTTCCAAGGCAGCTACTTGACACACTACAAAGATGTGGTCGGAGTTCTGATATTTGAAGTTAGCCGTTTGTTACAAATTTTTGCATGTTATTGCATGTGTATTGATTTAGTGGAATAAAATCGATGTGGGTGAACACCAGGCAAAATTTTGTCCTTGTTGCATGCGAGTCATTTAATCACTTAAACTGGTCATATGCAAAGATAAGGAATATAGTTCAGTGAAGTGCTCTATCAGGCTTACAGGCTTCAGGACCTTGCAAAGCTGAGCCCTACCTATGTGAGCAACAGGGAAGGAGGGAACATTTTCTTCCTCTTCACTCCATCCGGACAGCAAGCAATGCTTCTGAATTTCAGGCAAGGCTAAATGAGGATCTGATTATGGCCAAATTTGGTGGATGGTGGTGCCCAAAAAGCCCTTCTGTTAGCCTTGGGCCATGGCCAAACCACCACAGTGTGTGCAGCCCAAGGCATCAGTTTTCAGAGGGAGGTACACGCTGTTCTGTTTCGGAAAAGTGCTGTGAGTTCAGCGCCTTACATGGTGTCTAACTTCTTGTGGCCTCCTTGCCTGGGCAAATGAGGTGCAGTGTAAGGTGCGGGCTCAAGTGGTCACTTCCCCCATGCTGTTTCCAAGCAGGGAAACTTCTAAGCCTTTGTTAACAAGCCTGAGGATTTGCTTTCTGCCAGGTCATGTGGCAACTTGTTCGTATCAGCCAGCACTGACCTTAATCTGTATTTCAAACATGACCACACTTGAATGCAGCTGATGTGGGTTGGTTTTTTTCTGGAACCCAATGCCAAAAAGCATTCCATGTTTGTACCACTGCTAGCACAATGGTCCCACGCCATGTCTCTCTCTGGGCCACCCATGCGTGACAGCAAAAGTAACAGTGCGCCAGTGCACTGCTCAGTCTTTTTTTTTTTTTTTTTTTTTACATGAGAAAGCTCTCTTAAATAAATTCACTATTAAAAAAAAAAAAAAAAAGTCTTGCAGAAATAACCGAGTTTAAAATGGATCTGACTCTTCAGTGCAATTCCCAGAACATTAGGTTACGGCTGGGGTTTTTTGGGGGGTTTCTGGGCGTGTAATATGGGTGTTTTGCTGCAATATCCGGTTTTTAGTACATTCATGGCGGGATTTCCTTGATTAATAGTCCATTTTGATCTTTACCACTAGGGCTTGTCAAAACCTCAGTGTTTGATATGGAAAACAGAGGCAAACTGCTTTTCCCTTTGGATGTTATGCAGCAAAGTCGTGATATGTAAATAAACTGAAAAAAGTAAGAACTCAGCAATGCATTGCCATCCACTAACGTGCATTTCACACTTTTTCTGTATCAACGTTTTAACGGAATATGAGTGATTGCCTTCTTTCCTTACAGGTAGATCTTGCCAGTTTGTACATCAAGACTGGTGCCAAGAACATGCCCACAGTGTTTTTGCTGACAGATGCCCAGGTTCCAGATGAACGCTTTCTTGTGCTGATTAATGACTTGTTGGCATCAGGTGATTAGACCAACACATTTCTTGAAAGATCTTTCCCAATGACAAATGATCTGTGGTTTCATTGAACTTTAAAGAGATTATTTCTCTTTCAGGTATTTGTAGGGGGAGCTTTTAGAGAGGCCAAGTCAACCCATCCAACTTGAGAATTGAGTCTAACTTGCTTAAGAAAGCATTGCCCACGGAGGAGACAAATTGCTAAGGCTTATCGTGCATAAGTGCATTGATTTGGGGTGAGATGGGAATCTCTCTTTGACTTAATGCCATGTTTGCGTATGATTTCACTGACTTCAAGCAATGTCTTCGTGACTGCACAAGTGTAACAGACAGCGATGCAGTTTCACCCATGTTTTGAAAATCAGAGAATCTGGATTCTGAATGTGGGGATCTGGAGATAGGGTTGGAAGAAAAATGGGAGTAATACCATGTTGTACAGTTGGAGAGCATCTTGAAAGATGATTTTTTTTTTTTAATTATTATTCATTTTTGCAACCAGACTGGAAAACAATTTTCTAACAGCCTGTAAAAAAAGGAACCACTATTCTGAGGGATACATAATTTATGAGTGAACTTCCTGTCAGGGCAAATATTTTTGTCTTTTTAAAACAGTGTTGTTTCCACTCCCTTATAAAAAGAATTGTTCTTTTTAGGTGAAAAGGTGTGGGGAACAGGAGGAAACTGTTTTGTTACTTGATCTATCTATTATCATAGCATAGCTCTAGTTATGTGCCTAAACCCCATTGTGCTAAATACCGTGTAGAAGATTATTTCTGTGGTTGTATTGTGTAAGTCTTCTCCTAACTACCCCTTTGTCTTTTCGCAGGAGAGGTTCCAGATCCGTTCAGTGATGAAGACATGGAGGGCATAGTTACAGGAGTTAGAAAAGAAGTACGAGCCCTGGGCCTGATGGACACCAGAGAAAGCTGCCGGAGGTTCTTCTTGAGTAGAGTGCGGCTGCAGTTAAAAGTAAGGCATATCTCAGGGGAGAGAGGCAGTACTGAGCTGGTTAAAGTTACAACATACTACAGTTGTCTTATAACCCCACATACGTTGGTACACTTCTCTTGAAAGACACACTCTCCGACATGTGACACCGAATTTGCCTCTCTCGCATTACCCCTGTAATAGCCTTCTCTATGTGGGGCTTGGTGTACGCCAAGTTTTTCTCCTAGGCCTGGCTACTGCCTTCCTGCCTGTTCATCGGAAAGTCACGTAGCTGCTCTGCATCTTCGTTTCATGGTCTTACGTTTTGAATATAATGATGCATTTCAGAGAGAAGTGAGGTGCTGATGAGGAGTTAGTGGTGCAGTTAGTACAATTGTAAACGTGTTCCCTAATTACATACAGTAATTCTGTATGTGTAGTCAACTCTTAAACATTTGCACAAATGACTGAAATTTCACAGTAAATGTTAATTCTTTCTACTTTTCCTATGCAGTTTAAAACTGGGAAAATAAAAGTATCTATGTAGCTGTTTTCAGGTCAAAAGCTGTTTAACAATACACATTAATATGATACCACAATTACAACAAGTATTTCTCTTAGAACTCCGTTTTAGAGGTAATGCTGTTGAGGTTGACTGTAGTTCTCTCCTGAAAGCTGGAAAGCAGAAGCTTGGGAACGCTGGTTTTGGAGTGGAACTTTTAGGAACTTTTGGTTTATGCAGGCTTCAATTTTATACAACATCTGAAACATGTATGTAGCTGATAAGAAAATTAAAAGTCTGAAAACCATTAACCCTTTAGAAAGAGAGTGTTTTGAAAGGAATATAAGCTCCGTACTTTGTGTATTAGACTGATCTGTTTGATTGGGGATGAGAAGAGCCTTCCCATAGCAGATAATTCCACAGTATCTTCTGTGCAGGTTTTTTCTGCTTCTTCTGAAGTGTTTAACCACCACTGAGCTAAAGACCGTTCCTATTTGGTTATGAGATTTTTTTTTCAAGTTCTTACACTTTATAACATACCACTTTCTTTTTTTTTTTCTTCTCATCTTCCCTCTTTTTCCTATCCTGCTTTAGTTTTGCTGATGTTCCCTCCTATCTCTAATTTTGTTGCAATCACTTCTGTCCCTCCACAAATTTCTTCTATAACTTAAAGGCCAGTGGAGACTTGTACGGGATCTAGTGTGACATATTCTGTATTGTTTCTCTGTTTCATGCCTATTGTGTTTGTGTACATTTTTTAAGAAAGTATTGGAAAAAAAATAAGATGTCTAATATCTCTCTCCATTTTCTTCTTTCCCATTTCTTTCCCTTTGTGTTTTCCTTATTGCCCCAACAATTTCTTAATTTTCTTTGCTTTTTTTTTTTTTTTTTAAGGGCTTTTTGAAAGCCAGCTTTCAAATGCCTTTTACCTTGCAACCATTTCACCAGTTCCCCACTGTGCAAATTAGCACTTCTGGAGGAAAGAACAGGAGATATCTATTCATGTTGCAGGGAAGCAAGGTAGAGACATTATAGTACTAAAGGAGACATAAATTTCATGAGTTAACACGCTGGCAGATATCTGTATGGACTTCTAGTTGGTGCTGGGTGACCTATCACCTCCTCCGTTCCATAGATTTGAAGAATAAAAGACTAATAAAATGTGAAAGAGAACAAAAGGGAGAATTTAGACAGTTTCAGAATGTTAAAGCTTAGCGAAGTGATTTAAATTTTTCAATTTAATTTTAAAAAACCAACATCCTACATTAAGCCACATTTCCCTTGTGCTCACCCATCATCTTATACCCTACAGTTCTGTTTATGATGAGGAATCTGTAGCTCAGGAACCCAAACTACACAGTGCAATTCTTTGAACCACCATAGCTCTTTGGTTTTGTGTTGGTTTTGTTTTGATTGTTTTCAGTCTGGAACTTGCAATCAATACTGCTGTTAACGTACTGAGAACATGCCATGTATGTAGGTGCAAATTTATGTCAGTGCAAATTGGAAGTACGTCAGGTAAGGACAGTGGATTGCACCGTTATAAAATGTGGGCCCACAACTGAAGTTTGTGTGAGGACATATATGCACCTGAGGATTTCAAAAGCTTTTGTGATGAATGATGAAATAAATTAAAAAGGAAGAATGCTGCTTAAGCAAGGCTGATGGCCAAACATTGTGAATGGTAATGTGCTGACAGTGCTAAGGCATGGTATTGCATAGGCTGAGAAGTTTCTAAGGCTCACAGCGGTTTACTGGAGCTCCAGAAGTTTTTCAATAACCCACATGTCTGTGCAGTAATCACTCTTAAATACTCTGCACGTTACCAAAATTTTTTATAAAAGTAAAGGCCGGAAGAAGCAACTATTTCTCAAAAGCATGGATATGAGGCACAGCCAGTCAGTCCTGCTGTCTCTTGAGCTCCATCTGATTTTATTTTATTCTTTTGGTCGTGGCAACCTTTCAACATTTTCCCCAAAATGGGAACACTGTGCCTAAATGCCTTGCAACTCACGTCCAACACAAACATACTCTTAAATGTACTCTTTCCAGTAAGCATACTCTTTACAGCATTTCATCTGCATGTTTTCCAAGTTCTACTTTTCCTACTAGCTCTTCTCAGTTTCCTCAGTGCTCTTAAACATTACTATGTATTCTAAAGCCATACGTGTTATATGGCTTTTCTTCTGAACTGAATCTCTGTTACTTAGTCCCTGTGCAGCCAGTTTTCTTCATGAGCTGTGGATCTCTACTACAAATACTTGCTCCCATTTCTTGAACAAGCTTCCTCATTGCATATTTTCCTCATGTTTCAAAGTTTACAGTCCCTCAGTGGCCGTTGTGAAGTCCCAGCACTAAGAACTAAGTATGCTGGTTTTAGGGGAATACCATTTCTCCAGTTTCCTTCCAATAGGCAGACTTGGCTGGGCTACTTTAGTCATTACATCCTTACGATGGTCTCCTCCTTGCATAGTCCTGTCAGTATTTAGCTGGCTCCCCATTTTCTAAGGAACTCAGCAGTAAAGCAGTTTCATGCTTCAGCCAGAATTAATGTCAAACATAGGCAGGGCAGGTGCCCTGCATTGCCACAGGCAATCTTGTCCATATTATTACTATTACTTTGCTTTTAAATCATTTCCAAGTCCTCTTTCATCAGGACATGTTAGCATTTTCCTTGTGATCTGTTTTGCCACTGACAGAACATCTCTTTTATCTGTGAATCTGAGAGGAACTTCTACAGCTCCATCACAGCTCAGCTTTTGGCCAACTCTCGTGGTTTTTCCTTTGCAGGCATAAATACACACGCCTATTAGCCTGACTGCTTTAATCCCAGCCAAAGAGAACCTTGTTTTTAGGATTTCTGGTTCTATGTTAAACTAATACTAACCCCAGATAGGATTATATTTGTCTGATACAATGGGAAATGGAGTTCAATTGATCATGCTGTCTATTGCTTGATCAGTCTCACCTCCCGACTAATTTCTGAACTCGCCAACCAATTGCCACCAAGGAGGCAGGTGGATCAGGGACAGACAGACACAGTTACTGCCCTCCCACCGAATGTAGGCTCAGTTATGTTATTAGACAGCCAAGAAGCTATCGAGGATTTCTAAGTTCTGTAGCACAGAAAACAGCTGCTTCTGCAGTTGGCAGGCTCTTACAGAGTTCCTGTTTCTCTATTAAAAGCTCCAGGCTTTTCTCATTTGGATGTCAGCCATTTCTTCTTGAGTACTTAGAGAGCTGATTTTTAAGGATACATCTATATTAGTAAATTTATGAGGTGTATTTTGTGGTCCTGAGGATTAGTGGCGTTTCTCTGATTCTATGACATGGCTGGCATGCACGTGGCTTAGCTTTTCCCTTGCTCTGGTCACAAAATGATGGTGGTGGCATAGAGCTGGTTAGGAACAATTCCTGGTCTGTACAGCTCCTTATTCCTGCTGCAGCGCTGCTTAGTTTCACATGGGAAAACCATGCAAGTGAGTGTGTTAACACTTAAATAGGATGGGCCCTGTCAGACCAGTGGTCAAGCATGTGCCAAGGCGTTCATTAGTGTTAAGATACACTGTTGTCTGTCTTGCTGTGTTTGAAGCACTCTGAACCTAGGGAGCTTGCATATCTGAGATAAAGCAGGAGGAGGTTGAGCCGAAAAATACAGTGTAAAAGATGTATCTGCAGTGAGAGTGACCTGTGACTGTGAGGCTCAAATGGAATACTTGAGAAAAGAGGGGGTTTGTGTTCTTAGGAGCGGTGAATGCTACATGGAAGTTAATATCAATTTCACATGATAACAGTTCTTTTGTCCACACTGATTGTCTTCATTACTCAGTTGTGCAAATTTAAATCTTAAAAATGTCAGATGAAAGACTCTTGCATAGTCCCTCTCAATCCACATATCTTTCCAAGAAAAGGATGGGTTTATTTTGGAGAACTTTCTAAGTTTTTCTATTACTATATGAAATACCCTCACTGTATAATATTTATATCCTGGTTGTCTTGCAAGAAATGAAGCATTTCTTACATGGAGCATTTCCTATTCCTTTTTTTTTTTTTTTTCCTTCCCTCTGTCAAATTAGACTGTCATTTATGGCCTGGGCAGAAGATAAATGTTTTCAAAATATGACCTCCTTGTTTAAGCAAAGATTGCTCAAAATGTAGTGAGTAATAATTACTAATTTTTCCTCACAGCTCTCTTGTTATCAGATCACATGGCATCTTCATTATTCTGCGTGCAAAGCAAGCAGTGCACAAGATCCTTTATAATATTGGGAATTCACTGGCGGGAATGCAAATGAACCCTGAAAACATGCCACATGAATAATTCTTCTAAACTTCATCCGGACATGATAATCTACAAAGTTTGTGTGTAGGTAACTAATTTTACCTATTGCTACCTTTAAATTGGATTTAATTGTTTCTCTTCATTTTCTGCAAGGTTTCTAGGACACAGATCTGCTGCTGTTCTCTTTATTATTAGCTTTTGCAGATCCTCTCATCTAGTCCCTCTCTTCTTAGCCTTCACAGCAGTTGTTTTCAACTGTTACCTTTTGCTTTGTAATCTGCACTTGTGAAATAACAGCTAGGTATTTGAATATGTCTGCATTGCAAGCGAAAGATTGGTCCATCTGTATTTCATGTGTACTAAGTTCACCTGCCTTTAAACTAGCTGTTTTCAGGGTTGATTGTAACAGTTCAGTCCAGGTTACTTACTCAGGTATATCTCCTTTTTCTTGGTCGGGCTTTCCAGCCAAATAATCCTGATAGGGCTAGCGCGTGCCTGGTACTTCTTGCAAAGACTTTCACTAGGGCTCACTTACCATGTTTAGCAACTTGTGCTAGATGCGCTGTTGCTTCAACCATTTCTCTCCTGTCTTTCTTCACTCGTCACTGTTCACCTCCTGTTCCATAATCATTTGTTATGGAAGTTAACTGTTAAGAGGCTTTTGTGTCCCGTGGTTATCCACATGAGCTCCAGTAGTACTGTGCTGGATAAACATGAGATTAGAATAAAGATTAGAACATACTATTATAATGTACTCTTTAAAACTTTCAGAAATTTTTTTGGAGGGGGGGTGGCCAAGGGCAAGGAGAGAACAGATGGGTATAGGTATGACTTAGTAAATCCAGAATTTAGATGCTAGGATAAAGTTAAAAGTAAGCAATCCTGAAAGGTCAGTATTACCTTCTCAGGGATCCGCAGTTCATATAAACTAATGCAGCTCCTTATAGATAGAAGTAGTTCGTTTAAATTACTCCGAACAAATGACATTGGATAGAGAAAGCACCTTCTCGCCTGAAGTTCAACATAAGATTGATATAAATAGGGCATAAATAGTAATCATTCCATATAAACAATTGTTTAGTATTTAGGGAGGATAAAACATTACTTAGGGTACAAGACTAAGGAAAACACTAAATTCTGATTTGTGTTTGGCAAATGATCCAAGACTTTGATTTGGACTCTTCTTGCAGTCCAGTACTTAGAGAGTTTAAGTCCAAATGTGAGGAATGTGAGCAGTGTAGGAGGGTGTAGAAGATGTAACTTCTGTCAAGACTGTGTATGGTTTGCAGCTTTGGAAGTGTGATGGATTCACTTTGGCACCACTGCTATAGCAGGGGCATTTGTGAGAAGCACATCAAAGCAGGGACACATCTCTAGGCTGTCCGTTACTGCTGCTACCATAGCAGGGATGGTATGCAGAGCTGAGAAAGTGGCTGCTAGAGGAATAAGAGAGGAGAAAATGAGGTGCCCCAAGCATCAACATTGCTCACCATGCTTCTGACATTATAACTGAACATAGAATTTTATCAGAAAATGAGGTGATGTGAATGAGAGGGAGAGAGAATGTCTAATTGAAGGATACATGGTATAACAGAGAAGAAATTTCAGAAAACTCACAGAAGTGTCCAAGGTCTTTGAGAAGCGCGAAACAGACCTAGCAGATTCTTCATGTACGTTTCTTCTCTGATTCAGAGTTTTGGGGTGGAGACCATTTATTCTTGTATCGTTTTGATTGTTTCTTCAGTGTTTGCCCTTCTTTCTCATCAGCCTGATAAAATTTTGCTGTAAATTCCAAGATCTTTCTGTGGTCTTTGTACAGTTTTAGTGTCGTTTTCATCACTTGGCTAGAATGGATTTCTACATGGACATTTCTGCCATTTGCCTCTTCATGCTGAACACATTCAAAGTAGATGACATTTTCTTCAGTACCTTAGACCAACTTGCTGATCAGCCTGTCTTTGCAACATCCCTGGACAACCTGGACTCCCCTGTGTTTTTGCATGGGTGTCTACATTCCTGCCTAAATTCTTGAAGATGGGGGAGAACGTTATCTTCTTGCAAATATGAGAACATGCACTGCTGTTTGTAATCCTTGGAGAAGTCAAAGCTCACAAGTGATGTAAAACCAGTGGTTTCTCTTGCTGACACATTCTCAAGTACTTCCTAGACAAATGTGCAAATTGCCTGTGATTAGAAGAATTTTAGATTCATGTATGTGGAGGAATGGCTGGGGAAACTCCGACACATGTAAGAGAGGTATTTTTCTCTGTTTGACAATAAACTAGATTGGTAGGGGGACCAGAATAACTACAGCAATTCAAAACTCTGTTTTAACATGAAATAGTCCTCTACATCCCATTCCATGAGACAGAGGAAAAAATGTACTATGAGATCTCGTAGCTCTGGGAAACTGGTAAGCATGTTGGAAAGGGAATAGGTACTAGTGAATACCCTCTATTTAGAAATATAAAGAAGTAAATGGGTTAAAAAATGGTAGAACATGCAGTTAATTTACAGTGCAGTCTAAAGCATGGGTTTGGGGGCTCTAATTTATTGAATATTTATGATTCGCTCACCAGTAAAGATTTCAGTGAATTCTTCTCTATTTTATGCCCCATTTAGTATTTAGTCTGCATCATTTCTCTTCCTGTCTGTCACAACATGGGAGACTATCATTGCTTCTGTTTGCCTTCCTTGCTTCTTACTCTTACCCTTTTTTCAGGTCTGTCTTTTTTTCCTTTTAAGATTGTTTCACACGTCTTCTGCCATTTACCTCCTGTGTTTCCACCACGGCTCCCAACAGCAGGGACCACTTGTGCTTTTCTTGCTGTTACACTTGGCCATATCACACCCTTCTGAAAACGGTGTCATTGATGTAACAGTGTCATTGATCTGATGCGTTCAATAATCTCAAAATTCCACTCAGTTTGTGGAGCCATGAGAAAGAAGTTTTTTGTGAGATACAGCCTGACCGGTGCTTGTGACCGGAGGCCGTTTCTTAATTGATTTTGCTAAAAAAGGTGGGAATAAAAAAAGGACATACCCTGTGGTTCAGCATAAAATGCAAGCTTTACAAAATGTATAAACATCCCAGGAAACAGTTTCTCTTTGAGCGGGTTTTCTGAATAATGGTAAAAGATTTTCTTGTCTTGACTTAGTTCTACTGAAACTTACTCATCTTTGCTCATAACTAAAGGTTAATTGCAGAAATTGTTGTCTTGTGTTTTCCAGTGCAGAAATGTATTTTTAGAAACTATGAGATAGTGGCAAGTCTTTTGCATTTTCCGTGTAATCTTCTTTCCAGATACCATAGAGGCTTTTTCCACTGTTACTATCTACTCATCACTTTCTCTCTCCTCTCTGACTGCTTTAAAACCCAGTGAAGTATTGTCCCAGGTCAACCTCCTCCTTTCTTCACTCCTTTTTTCCTTCTTTTCTTTCAACTTTCTGCTCGTCTTCCTTTTTCATCCAGTTTTCTCTTAATAGGTAATGTCAATTCCTGATTACTCCAGAGGCAGAATAAACCTGTCACTTCCCTAGCATGCCTGACTGGGCTCTGGCCTGGCTCTTGTGGCTGTTGGGGATGTGATAGTCTGTTCTGATACAATTTGGATGTTTTCTATTGGAATTAACAATATCGATGCCATATAGTTTGAGAAGCCCCATACAGCAAAAATAGTTCACAAGAAGCGTATAGGAGAGACTCCAGTCCTGTCTTAACAGCCTGATGTCTGTCATTTTGCTAATTAACTAAAAGCAAATACAATGGCCAAAACACGTGCTAATGGCAGTAAGTAGGTCCACAGATAGAACTGAGAGACTAGAATAACCCTTCCTTCCCAAATGTGAGTTGCTTTCGGTAGGCCCAGTGATACTAACAGCTGATCACAGTTTTATTTATTTTTCTTTGACTATTTCAGCCTACCCTTGTTTGACCATTCCTTTCCACTTCTGTAAAGAACAGTCCCTAAAACTTCACATACAAACCAAGGTCCGGATCTCCTTTTCTTCCCGTTCTATTAACGGGGTTGCGGTGCGTATTAAAGTGGGGGGAAGCGGCTTGAGTAGATGTAGCAACTCAAGAACTGGGTTTGTGTCACTGTGACCAGCTGAACGTGCGCCTTCTGGCTGTCTGCGTGCCAGCCAGTCCCTGCGGCTGCATTATTATTTATTGCTATCAAACCGAGTAACCGATACCAATGTGGAGAGAGGGGAAGGAAGCTGTAGGTACGCTGTGTTTGCACAGTGGAAAGGGAGTAAAATTTATTTGCCCAAGGTAGCTGACGAAGTTTATTAGCTGACAAATTTGGTTTGGAGCCTCAGCTCTGCGCTGGCCGGCGCCGGGCCATGGTTCATTGCATGCCTTTCTTTGATTGCCTCAACTTGCCGTGCGCTTCTTTTTTCTCTCTTTTCCCTCCCTCCTCTCCGCGGATCGTTCTGTGTTTCTCGCCTGCCGGTGCCACGCTGTGAGCGCGAGCTCGGAAGTTCCCAGCCATAGTTAACTGCACCGCTATTGACCGGTTTCATGAGTGGCCGCGGGAGGCCCTGCGCTCCATCAGCAGGAGGTTCATTGAGCAAGCTGAGGGGGTCGAGGTACAGAGTTTCAAGCTCATCAGTCTTCTAAGAAAGCAACAGAGATCATTGAAAGATCGATAACTGAATAAGCTGAAAAAAACAATGCTCTTTTTACTCCTTCTTTGCATACTTGTTGCCTTCAGTGTTGTTCAAGCTCACCCCTGCTAAAAGCTGAATTTTTATGGCGTGTCACTGCCCAGTTCCTTCAGCAGGATTTAGAGAACTGCCTAGCACAGGCAGAGAAGTGAGGGGGAAAGAAGAGAGGCATGTAATTCATAGCACTGTCTTTGCAGAATCCTTCAATTCTAGGCTTTTTAGGATCTTAGAGATACAAAATTCCTTTAACCCTTTTCAATACAGTTAAATATATTCGCTAGTGCTGTAGCAAGTGAGGCTGAAAAATTGCAGTGCACAGTCCAGGCTAACTAAAGAAAAGTTTTCCCTCTGTTCAGCAACTAAGCAGGTGAAAATTTCCCCTGTAACCACATGGCAAATGCATTTAGTGTTTTAATATCTGGGCAATTATTCTTTTTTTGTTCCTGATTGATCTGGAGTGCGACTTGTTTGTTTTCAGAAAAAAGTCATGCATTAGTGAGTTTCTTTTCAGGGAGAAGGAATATTCTCATATTCTGCGAAGAGTTTTAACAAGCTGCCTCTGCTCCCACCCAGCGTGGGACAACACTGTCGTGCTATCGGTGAGACTGCTCAAGTATTTGCTGGTGGAGTAATTCACATAGATCTAGAAAAGATTTACTTTCTTTCAGCGTTTGCAGTTGCACTAGTTTCATTCTGGAGTGCTGTTATATTTGGGACCATTTCTTTGTACAGGCCATTTGTAATCATGAGAGACAGGATTTCAGGAATGCCCAAGGAAGAGCCTTCTGGTTTTGGTCAAGGGTAGCACCAGTCCTGGGGCAAATCTCTGCGTAAGAGGTTGATGCATTTACAGCATTTGTCCTCCATTCAAACCCCTGCAAAATACACGGGGTCCTCAGGAGATGAAGGCGAAGGAGAGGGGGAAGTCTGCAGGGGTGCCTGGGGCTGCTTCCAGGGTACCCGGCGGGCCCTTCCTCTCCCCCTCCCCGGGGCTTGTGCGAGGCAGGGGGGCTGCGGGGAGGCCGGCCCGGCTGCCGGCGGCAGAGGCTCCCTCGCTGCGGGCTCGTACCCGTGCTCCCGCGGCATACGGATGCCTCCTATAGGGCTGCAAGGGAAAGAGAGATGTTTGCAAATCCTCCTCGTTTGTATTTTTCCATCGGCATCTTCTGCTTTATTTTACCAGCTCGTAAGAGATTTGAAGTGTTACTAGGAGAGTTATTTGTGGTCCGGTGGACTATGTGGGCGTTTTGCCCTGTTTTTAATGTGATACCAACTTACATATTCCCATTTGTTTTAAAGAAACTGCTGGAATTACATGGAGAAAAGAGAACAGAATTTGTTTTGACTTAAATGCTTTTTTTTTCCCCAAACCCTTAATTGATTATATTTTGCTGCTTTGAAAAGATGTCTGGTCTTCAGAATTTAGGCTTTTAATACTGAAACTGTTTGGGAGGAGTTATTTTTTTTTATTTTTTATTTAAGGATTATGTTCCTATATAATTCCTTTTGTAGATATTTAGGAAAGAATTCACTGATCCAAGTGACTGTTTATGACTCTCTTTTGCACATTGGTATTAACTGATCCTGGTAAATATCTTTCCTGTTCAGTTCCCAGCAAGTGAAATAAATGGCAACTAACAAAATAATGTGACACTTTATTGACAGCGAGTTAAGGTTTTTGTGTCATCAACATACGTAAAGCGGTACTGGGTGCCTGAGTCGTGTCTGCGTGTGCAGCCGATGAGAAGACTGACAGACAAGACAGCAGAATGCAAAAAATATTAGGAGGAGACAGGGGAAGGATTTGAAAGTGATGGGGAAAGTGAACGCAGAACAGAGACGTTGAAATAGCATAGAAACTATGACAGTGTTATGGGGGGAGAGGAGGGGAGCTCAACCAAAAGAGGTAGAAGGGAAGCAAAACTGAACCAGAAAGGGAGGAGAGGTGTACAGCAAAGAGTCTGAGGAGGAGTGAAAGGGAGGTGAAGGGGGAATGGTCACAGAAAAATAGTTAGTAAAAGGAGGGGTGACAGGAGAGTTGCAGAGGTGTATTAAGATATCAAAAGAATGAGAGAGGCAGGGTGGAAAAGGACCACCCTGAAGAACAGAGGGAATCTTAGCTGCAGTCTGCCATCCCCTTTCCGTTGAAGATTTATAGGAGGTGGTCTCCTCTCATTCTCTCATCTCTAGTGCTGGCGTGGTGATACGTCGTTTCACTTGCTCCATTTTAGATATCTCCGGAAAGCCTTTTGTTTGTTCTTAGTACAGAAATCTTGTTAGCCAGGGCTCATGTATGCCTGGACTTCTGAAACATACTGTAATTGTGCTGTCCCTTATGATGAGCAATGCAAGATCTGTTCCTGAGTGATTATCTTGGCATAATTGACACTTAGTTCCTAATTGTCCTGTTTCAGTGTCTCCCAAAAAAACCCAAAAATAGTTGTTGTTTTCTGGTTTTTTGTTTTTTTTTTCTGTTCATCACTGTGTAACAACATTACAGATTTTTTTAATTAGCGTAGCTTGAAGTTAAGCTAATGATCTTTTTTTTCCCCTCTTAAAAGTTCAATACAAATATGACATCATATCTACATTGTTTTAACAAAAACTGGAAAATTTCTGGGTTTAAAGAGTAAGAGAAAGCCATAAAAAATTCATGGTGATTGTGGGAGTTGAGAAGGAAGTCTTAGATTCTCCATCTCTTTATCTTCAAAGTCTAGGTACTTTTCTGGAAGGTACAGTTTACCCAGGGAAGGAGGGGGGGGCAGGCTGAGCTCAGCAGGGAGATGGTGAGCTGCAGCATCAGTATGGGCTATGAAGGATGCTGTGAACATCCCTTCTGCCCTGTGTGAAAGTATCTGAATAGAAAGAACAAGTGATCCTCCTTAATTATGGTCCCGTTGAAAATAAGTCCCATGAGCCCCTTTTCACTCGGAAGGACATTGGACAATGTGCGGGTTAAGGACAAGAGACGGTGAGTTCAGAGATATTTGGGGAGAAATGGAGAGTATCAGAAATTTAATCAATTTGGATGTGCCTGATTTCTTGGGAGAAAAGAAAGGAAAAGAGCCCTCTTCTGTTTCAGCACTCAAATTGCTAAACTTACATTTAAAAAGAACACAAGCAAAGAACACTGTGCAGCAAGTCTGAAATCCATATACGGAGCTTAACGAACTTACAAAAGCACCTCATTTGGTATAAAACATGATCTATGGTATTTTGAAATCATGTCCCCGTCTCCGAATTTAACGTGACACAATCTCTCTTCCTTACTTTCAGCTGGTTTCACGCATCAGCACTGAGTACAGAATAAAAGAGTCAGGATTGTTGAATCCATCCCTTTGAAAATAACAGCAACGTACATCTCTGCCATCTCCTTTGAGTGTTTTGCGGTTGCTGTCTTTTATGCTGCTCCTCCAGTGCTTCGCACCAAACAGCGCACACTGTTAAGCATACCAAGGATAAATTCATTATACTCTTAATTTATTGTATTCCAAAGTATTTTACAACATGTGGTATGGCAAAGGAGAAGCCTGAAGTAACTTTTTTGCCTTCTCCCCTTGCCTCTTACACTCCCCACTCCTCTCCACGCTCACTTCCCTGTTACCTCTTCCTTCAGACACACGCTGGCTTGGTTTTATTCTCAGTTTTGATAGCTGCCTGTGGGATGCATTCAAGATCAGTGACATTGGTCTTTTTTGCGCTTTGCTTGGCGTGTTTCAGCTAGCTCAACTTAACTGCAAAGAGCTAAGGTTTGTCAAGTTGGTAATGACTAATTTACATCCGAGGAAAGTAAAAGGGCAAAACTCCTGTTTAAACTATACTCATAACTTGCATTGGGTTTGGGTTTTTTTGTATGCTTAAGTCAGCCAAGGCCTAGAATAGAGAGACTGCATGAGAATGAACAGACTTCACCCTTATATTTTCTTTCAGATTGTATATAGGCTTATTGCTCAGTCATCTTTAGGACTATTGAATGGTTTTGATTTGCACCAGCCTAATCTTCATTATTGGCTTCGAGCTACTTTATGCTTTCTAGTGAACTGCAGTTAAATCAGATTTTGTAACTGTATCAACTCTTTTTTGTTTGCCTTTTTTTAATAAAGAAGGCTAAATTAGCAATAATAATTTCCTTTGCCTACAACCCTGAATGGGCATATATTGAAAAGTACAATGTAGTATTAGAAAAAAAAAAACCTGGAGATAAACGAATGGCAGAATAAATAATTTATGCTAATGAAATTACTGCAATTAGTAGTTCCACAATGACCCTTTTAAAAGCCACAGCTGTTAATGTCAGGAAGTGCTGTCACCGCTGACCTTATCATAAGAGAAAGTGACAAATTGAAAATGCAGGGAAGACCAATCCTCAAAGAGGTCTGTTCGGGAACGATTAGTGTTTTCTGAAAACCAGTGTGAATTACAACCAGCTGCTCTCTGGCTCGGCGTGTCTCCCATGCTGTGCCATTTTGTTAAGCTCGATAACAATAGTTATTTTGCCCCATTGAGACAAGTTGTCTCGGGCCACTTCCAGCTCTACCGGAACCCACTTCTTCCCTCACTGATTTACAAATGAAACTGTTGTTAGAGGGCTTTTCAGGGCTGCTGAGTAGAGACCTCTCATAAGGATCATGTGTAAGGAGGTTGTCTTTCGCGAGGAAGAGCTGTACTGCAGGGTGCGTGTGTGTCACAATGAAAAAAAGGAGAAAAAGGCTGAAACGCATTTCAGTTGGAAGCCAAGCGCTGCTCAAATCTGCATAAAACATCCGTTCCTGCTGACTAGCCTTGCTTTTACAAACAGTTTTATTTTTAAGATGAATTTATGCTAGCTTTGCCTCAACTAATGATGTTCTGATTTTTTTTTTTATTTGTAAAGCAATTTATTTCCGCTTTCCCTAAATGCGAATCATTCTTTATTTAGTCCTTGTTTTAATTTCTGTTTTTTGTAATCATAGGTGAAATAAGTATTCTTCTAAACTAGCTTTTAAAAGTCACAAGAAAATAATGAGGTTTCTTACTGAGAAAAATGGCAAGTCTTTCTGCATCAACCTGATTGTAATATTGATGATGTAGGCTTAAAACATTTAACTGCATCAACAGCCACTTGCGAGCAATTTTCCCGAAGTTCCCTAAGCATTATTGACAATGCTTTGGTAAATTATGTGTGACTTTCCTAAGAGTTGGTGTAGCTCATTTAATTCATATTAATTGATTTTTAGGCTTCCCTTGATTAATTGAACTGGGTTCGTCTTGTACAGAATGCAATAAATAATCATTAAAATGAGGGAGATGTGACTCCACAAATTATAAAGTTAAGTATGCTAGAAGTCATAGAGGACAAAATGGAAGTTAGTTACAGTGATGGAGTTAAATGGGTTTTCTTAGTATTTCCCTGTTAATTTTGCATACAGTACTCTTGCTTAGCCATGTGTATGCGTATATTCTAGTAATACAGGTAGATAGGGTCCTTTAAAACAAACAAAAATGAATTTTGGGGGGTTCTTATTTCACCTTTATCCTGGGGAAGTATACTCTAATTCAAAGTAGTGTAGTAGTATCTTGTATTTGCTAGTTCAGGTTTCAAAAAAATTTAGAAAAAGGACCTTTGAGCTTTAGTCCCGGAACTACCTCTCTTCTTGCTGTGAGAGGTGAATAAAGACAGGCATTCTACCTCTGCATTTTGCTCAGAAATACATGACTAAATGACCGTCTGGAGCCGTTTTAAATATGCCTGGCCTGTTTTGGTTATCATATGGTATGCGAAAAGAGTTTTCCAGTCTCACGGCTGCATTTTCCTCCCTGTGATGAGAGAGAAACCCATGCAGTGCTGCGTGGCACCCAGCGCAGCCCCCTGGGGCTGCAGGACCGCTCTGGGTCCCTTCTGCAGCGTGCTGAGTTTTGCTCAGAGCTGCAGGTATACTTTGTGGTTCGACGTCTGGGTGGCACCTAGGGAGGGGAAGAGCGTCAGCTGTCACAGCTCAGGGTGACTCTGAACTCCATTAAGTCGTAACTACTTTTCTGGTCAAATACCCCTTGAAACTGATAGAAGGTCTCTTCAGCACAGAAATGTTGCTGATTTTCTGACATTTTATGGTAGGTAGAGACTCAGCTTCCAGAAGCACTCCACAGTGCTCTAATCCTGCCCTTGTGCCAGTTTATGTTAGTTTATCACTGACTTTGACAAGCACGGATAAGCCGGGACTTGTACAACTTCAGAAATCTAAATCATGGAGTCCGGTTCTGCTCAATCTGAAGTTAACGGCATAAATGCGCTTCACTCTGAATAGGAATTTGATGATATATGAGGTATGTGGGGATCAGTGTGGTTAGAGTAGCTACTCTATTGTATTTCTTTAACCTATACAGGATTTTTCTTAAACAGGATTTCCAGAGGTGAAATAGAAAATCCATATACTATTAACTCTGCATATAGCAGTATAGTGACTGATTTAACCTCTGTTTCTAGCTTTTAGGAGCATTTATTTTAAAGAAATGAAAGGATCTTGAAGCACTGAGCTTCTGTGGTGATGAAGACTTAATGAATGCCAGCACAGAATGAATTAATTTGTATGCATAAAAGTTGAGGAAAGCTCATTTTGCTCTAATGTTTTTTACATGCTGACAAAATTATGTTTAGGGTAGACTGAAAAATAGTTTTGCGAACAACCATGCTTAGAAACGTAACCTTTGCTGACTTACATAGATATACTTAATATTTGAAACATTTCTTTGCTCCTGTGTTTACATTTGTTCTTGTTCCTTGGGTATGTTCAGCCACTCATCCAGGACTCCATTTGTGATTTCATGGCTTATGCCCACACCAATGTGAATATGCTGAGTGCCAAATGCAATCGTAATGAGAGGCGACACAATTACACCACTCCGAAGAGTTTTCCCGAGCAAATCATGCTTTAAGATCCTCCTAGAGAAGAAAAGCAAGGTGATGTCGGGACACATGGAGCACTTGGTGAATGGCATGCAGAAGCTGAAGGCAGCAGCTTTCCAGGTAAACTGTGAAAGTCACAGCCTTTCCTTTCATTCTTATAAATACTCTTGGGTTTATTGCTAATAAAACAAAGTTATCGCAGCACCTTTTCATTAGACTGATTAGTTGTGGGGTGGCATTTTTGTGTTTCATTGAAATTACCTGATTTTGGAAGCTGGGGTTTGGTTTTTTTTTTCACATAGAAGCTCTTTGAGCTCTTTAGCTGTCTTTGGAAAGAGGGGTTCATCCATTTGAGCAAGGACAAAGTCTGGAGGGAAGGGAAGTGTAGTGGGGCCACAGTAAAAGAGTGGGAGGGGAAGTAAGTGCCACAGTAAAAGCCAGACCATGGAGAGAGAAGATGCAGTTCTGTACGTGGGGCTTTTGTGCATGGCCAGTGACCAGCTGAGGGGTAATGAAAGCAGGAGGAAGAAGTGTGGAACCTTTGCATCAGCTGTCCTCACCTCCTTGTGGGGGTAGTGCCACTTAGCCCCCAGTCAGTGCTTCTGCCTACAGTTAGTTTGTGGCTAGTCAGTCCACAAAGACAGAAAGGAGGGGAAACTGCTTTGAAGCCTTTCCCTCTGCCCCCCGCCACATGTTCCATAATCCCTATTGCAGATGCTGAAGGGAAGCCATAATCCAGCAATTTCTTTATTAAAAATAAAAGGTCTGTGTGTTTTATATAAAAACTGTGAATGAAATGCTCAGCTCCAGTCTGCATAATGTTGCATCTTTGTGCTACTGCATGACAATAATTGGAGCTGAACGGCTTATTCCCACTTTTCAAGCTGAAGACCTGCAAAAATCAATGGTCAACAGGAAAGGGTGACTGCTTTTTTAAAGTCTATTTTTAATAAGGTGTCCCATGCTAGTAAATGATTAAAATGCTCTTTTTCTCTGAATTCTAATTTGATGATGACCAAAAGGTAATTTGACAATTTCAACTGCTGCATGCTGTGCTAGCAGACAAAGCCACAGCTCCGATCTAGGCAGGTACTTGAACACTGAGCCATTTTTATCCTGCACTCCAGACAAGGATATCAAATGCAGCACCATTTAGTTTTTTCAGAAAGAAAAAGACATAAAGTCAGCTCAAATAAATTGAAAAATAAAGTGAGTGGAGACATTTGGGATCTTTACAGTCATCTGTTACAACTCAGTATTACAGCTTTGTCTTCTCATTTCAAAATGGTCAAATTTTGCAAAGGTAGATTTTGTAGGTTTTGTAAGACTTCAGGAGCCCATCAAGGAAGAAGAGTCCTCAAGACCTTCCATGTGATGAAAGTTTAAACCCTCTAATATTGGTCTTCCTCTTTGTCTTATCACCCCTATCCAGATCAGGTTAACAAGAGTCCCCTCTGGTCAAAACATAGTCTTTTATCATGAATAGCTGACAGATAAAATGCTTGGAGGGATAGCTCGGGGCAGGGGGGAACAAACAGGTATTTGAAACAATTCCTTTATATATGGAAAGATATTGTCGCTGGACATTTTGATACTGGTTTCTCTCCTGGCAGGCAATTAAATTGCTATTTCAGCAAACTAACAGGTAGTCTTTGTTCATCAGTCTCTGAGTCTGTCTTAACCTTCCAGCAAACCTCTACTGGAATTATCTGCTCAGAGTGATTACTAAGCATTTTCCATAATGTCCTTTTGCTTTTACATTTGCATCTTTGCTAGGTGCTGCAGCTGGGCCTTGTCGCACTGCTGAGACACCTGGTTACAAACACAACCTCAGCAGCTGGACAGACATCTGAGCATCTCAGGGGAGCTGCGGGGTCCCTGATGGGAGCAATTAGGCTGTTCTTATTAAATTCTTTATGTCAACAAAATTCTGTGAGCTACAAACAAGGAGCTGTCAAATGGAAACAAAATAAAAAAGGAAAAGAGAACACTTTTAGTACTGAGACCCACGAAACATGAATTTTGTTTTCAGTTCAGCTTTTTGGGGCTCATGTGGTATAATCTTGCCAGAACCATACCTAATGACCCTTGCTCCTGAATAACGCGTTACCTTTTGCCCTGTAGGTAGAAGATCTAAAATCCAAACTTGCTTCTCAAGAGGCAGAACTGCAACTGAGAAATCAAGATGCTGAAGCTTTGATTGCTAAGATGGGGTTTCAGACTGAGAAAGTGAGTCAAGAAAAGGCCATTGCAGATACAGAGGAGCAAAAGGTCAGTCTAATTCCCCCATTTAGTGCTGTTAAGCTATATTTAGCACAAAATAAACCTTTTTAGGTGAACAGTTTTGCACAAGTTCTCTCCAGGGAGCATAAAGTCTAAAGAATTATTATACTTACACATGTAACATCATTTCACACCATGATTACCACTTGACCTTTCTTTACATATTATGCCTTTTCCCAACCTTTTAGCTGTTTTAATGAGATGAAAGAACAATAAATACTGAGCTCATTCAAGCATTTAATGGATGTGGATCTTGAGAATCAGACCTATTTGTAATACAGTAAAGGTCAGAGAGTCATCTCTGAGCACTTGAGATTTCTAAAGGCTTTGAGGCTCTAGGTAAATTGAACAACTCAATTGATACGGAAGTTCATTCCAGTATCTCGCAATATTACAAGGTGCAAACCTTGAATTTTAAGATTATAATAGCATTCCTAATAATGTGTGTCATCAGTGTTGAATCTTCTTTTCACTCTGAGTTCAGCCTATTAACATTAGTTATCAACATCCATGTTGGAAACATAAAGTTTACATGCATTTTTCCTCACCACAGAATGAATAGAAATGCATAATTTTATCTGGACTCTAAAATTTTCATCTACTGTTACAAGCACGGTTTTTGAAATAAAACAGCAGCAGTATGGAATGCTGTAAACTGAAGTTCCTCTGCCTTTAAAGTCCGAAGGGCTCATTCAACTCTGGCATTTTGCTATGAAATCTGATGTGTATTGTGTCATTTATCAGTACTGCAGAGAGAAATATTTAATTGACTCGTAATAGTTGTTAATGCCTGATTTTGAGCTATGGAAACTTCAAGTTGCCACGAACTTTCTAAACAGTTTTCAGACACTGATCAACAGGGAAGACTATACTGTTTGAGCAATCAAAATGGTCTTTCATTCTCTTCTGTTTTGTTTCTTAAAGACTTCTTATTGTTAGGTGATATTTAATGCTTTTCTAATGACCTTTGGTCTCATCCTAATTTTATTGAGGGAAAAGTGATTTTTGACACTGACATAAATGAACACTGGATCAGGACCTTTATATTTCTCTGGGTTATGCTAATTATTGACTTCAGCCTTTTGCTGATCCATATCTTATATAGGACTTAAAAATTGCTATGAAGTTTAAAGTCCAAATAGTGCAATTAATTAAACTTGCACAAATTGGATCCAACAGCTCAACATCCTACCAACTGCTTTTCAGTGGTGCTTTTCCTGTATTGGTTCCATATGCTTCTGATGGATTTGGATGACCAAAATACACCCTTAACACAATTCTAATTACTTCATTAAGCAACTAGGTGAAACACACAGAGTGATTATCGTGGGATAATCACATCTTTGGGCCACTTTGTTTCAGGGATGAAGTTCAGCACGTGACACTAATGATTACTGTACTCCCCTGTTCATTGCTTTATTGCACTTCTGAAATGTTTTTGTTGGAAATGAAAGCGTCATTTTGTGCTACATTAATCTAAAACTATTTCATAAGGCTGATGATGGTTTCTAAATATTAATCTTCTATAATTTTTTGTTACAGGGGGAAAAAAAAAATCAGCAAATGAGAATACATCTTCCAGCTAAGTAATTTGTGAATACTCTTCATCATTGATTAAAATTTGTCACCCTTTAAAAAATTATTTTGGCTTTCCTGTTCTATAGATTTCAAACTGGAGTTTATAAGGGGTTTTTGAGTTTTACAACATTAAGCCAGTAACTACCTTGGAGGTACCGCTTTAGAGTGAAGCATTACTTAAGAAAAGGTAAAGAGCGGAAGTCGCTTTAGATCAGAGTCATCAGGAAAAGCGGGGTCAGTCTGGATGCCCATAAACGTGGCAGAGCTACATCGCTGTATAGTAATCAACAAGGGTCTGACTATGAATGTGATACTGCTAAGGTTTGAAAATAGTGGGCAGTAACACTGCTGTCATTTTACTGGCCATTTGTGTGCTCTGAGTGATGCCAGCCAGAGCGGTTTACAGATGAAGATGCATATGCCATTGCCTTTTAAGATGGGACCTACTCCTTCAAAGGAAGAAAACATGCAGAGCATGGTGTAGGTATATGGGTGACAGTGACACTACCTGAGGATTAGGAGCGAAGATGGATCCAGACTGACCAGCTTTTTTGATTTACCTCCCTCAGCTGAAGTGCCTTCTTTATTTACATGGTATATTTGAGCCACTCTATTCATGGTCTGATTGCTAAGGGCACACTGCTTCCAGCTTTTCTAACAATTTAGCCGTCATTGAAGATCTTTATACCATAGAAGTCACTGATGTGAAGAGGACTAAACTTCTCGAGACAGGGGTGAAAAGCTCCTTCATCTCTTTGTGAGGGGAAGTAGATTTGAGAAATACTGTCCTAAGGCTTATCTGCAACCTGCTCTGTTTAATTTTTCCTCCCTTAAAAACAATTATCTTGTTCCATATTTTCTTTGGGCATCAGCAAGCAAAGAATAACTAAGCATAAGAAAAAAGAGAGACAGAACTATAATGCAAATTGTGTGACTTAAATTAGCCATTTGTTTTAATAGAAAACACAGTGTCATGTTAGAAGGACTATGTACTGTAAATGTAATACTTGTTCATCTGGTTACATCCTTAAAAACTTTAACAGAAGGAGAATTTGGCTGTTCTAAACTTTTCGCTTTAAGTTAATTTCAGTAACATGGGTCTCAAACCATGTTAGAGAAAATATAAACCAAACCAAAACTGCAACTGTATATGCAGTATTTAATTTAAAAAAAATGTTGTGGCTAAGATGCAAACCAATAAACATTGGGAATTTCATCCTAAAAGCTACATCACAAGAGATGGGGGAAATATTTAACTTTCTTAGTAGCTTGTCATTTGTAATGTAATGCATATTGATTTTTAATCACAGACACAGACAGTGTCTGTGTGCGTCCCATGTAATAAAGGTATACATGGAAAGCGCCCCCAACAATTGTAGAAACACGTTTTGTAAGGACATTAAATTCTTACAGACGCTTGCTACTGCCAATGCATAGTGCTTGATCCAAGTATTAACATCTTGATCACTATAATACCCTCTTTGTCTGTAATTAGACTTTGTTTAAGCAAGACCTGACAGGAAATGAGCCTGTGAGATGAGCATGAGGTACAAGGATAAAGATGAACCAAATATAACTAACTTCAGCCCCAGGCAATGTGTCCTTAAAAGTGTGCATGATAATCTTCCAAATATGCAGTTGTGGATGATACAGAACACCCTCCAGGGTTACTCTACCAGATAAATTTGCACCAATGAAATCATAATCTGCTTTTAAACAGATAATTAAATCATTGCAGAAAATTGTGGAGGCACTCAGATTTCACTTAAAACTGATGCTAGCTGATTTAAAATCACTGATCTAAGGCACTGTTAAGCCAAAACAAGCATTTTGACAAATCTGCTTGGATTGGTATCTGTTTAATTTCCAAACCTGAAATTAAGTACAGTGTTTTCATTTAGGAGATTTCCTTTTCTCCTGTTCTTTCCCTTGTTGAGGCCTATGGTTTCAGACTTGGAACTGAGGAATTAAAAGAAAAAGGCAAATTTACCAAAAGGTGGAGGCTAGTTTGACAAATCTGATATATTTACCTATACCCCAAAAGTGCAGTGGAAGTTTTACTGGTTAGGGAAACCCCCAGTGCGTCACTAGAACTGACCATTGGCTCCCTGTTATTTTCTCTGATTTTCTAAAAGGGAGCCCTTTAAAGGGGAAAAATGGGGAAGTGAGGGGAAAAAAGGTCATGGCTCTCCAGATCTTAGTGAAAAATCTTCACTTTCTCTCTGCCATACATCTCTTGTTTAGCTCCAGCTTCTGCATTTGAACATAGATCATGAAATGCTTGCAGCTTACCTGCTGAAATGGCATAAGCTATTGAGTTCTCCCCTGTGTTTGATAATTCCTCAGAAGTAACAGACTGGCCTAATATTCCCCAGCTTTTTTGTACAGATACTTTACCTGGTCTCCTGTCCTGCGTTACTAAATCTCTCACCTTTGCACCCTACTGTATTATGTAGAGTCCTAAACACAGGAGTCCTTCTAAATTCTTGTACCTCACACAGTGATCTCCAGGTTTCTGTTGGCAACCGGGAGCATTCACTATCTGATGTGTCTTCACAAGCTTACAGGCTCCTTTTTTCAAAAGCATCCATACAGATAGGTGGTATTTCACATCCATACAGACATGCTTGATCACAGTCTGGTAGATAGGTACATCTACTAGAAGGACAGTCTTCATACTAGCAATTTTTCAGCAAGAGATATTAAAAGCTTATCCAGAAGAAAAAAATATATATACATAAATATATATTACCCTTCTTACAGCTGTACCTCTCTTTTATGTCCTTGGATATCAAGGTGGCAAAGAAAGCATTACTTGCAGAATTTTGTGTTGTAGTGCCCTATGCAAGAAAGTAATTGGGCATCACACAAAATCTGTTAATCCAGTACTCATTTGAAAAACGTATGCGGTTTATAGTCTCATGGAAATGAACAGAAATTGTATAAAGCTGTCGCATAGTTCTCTCACAACACTATGGTGGTAGTGTGTTGTCCTTCTTCGCCCTGAAGGAAAGGTGGATGTGCTAAGCAATAGTTAGTTAATTAACCTGAGAGGTTTAGTCTTACAAACGCTGAACTGGTTGTTGAGACACCCATATTCCTTTCGCCGTCAACCTGGTGAGTGCTACCAAAATTGTGTGGAAGTGCCATATTTTCTTTAGTAAGTCAAAGGTAACACATCCTTTTTTTCATCAGGTTAACTGCATGTATATTTAACATGATAATAAGAATAAGGCAAAGTTGTCAAGGCCAGAATCAGAGCAGCCTGTGAAGAAGAGAATTTGAAAAGTGAATATTTCAAGTATAAACCATTTTTAGCAGATAAAGCATCAGTACCTGTTTCTTACTTTTCAGTTTGCAAAACTGAGCAGCAGAGGATGATGGAGAATATCCAGTTATTATAATAACCCAGATAAAGATTCTTTGTGATAATACAGACATTTGTCCATAAGTATAAACAAAAATGATTTCTGGTACACCAATCCAAAGCTCTTCTGTTTCCTAGTCATCTCTTTTAGTCTCAGTGTGTTTTCTCCACAAAGGGGGTAGTCAGCAGGTTTCCACCTCCTGTCTCACGCTGTTGTCCTTAAAAGGGCAGAGCAACATGTAGGGATGCCTCATGATTCAGAGCAGCAGGGAAGAAAGGAACTTTGTATACCAAATTTTCTCTCTGGAGCAATGAGAATAAATGTGATCTAGCTACCCAGAGGTTAAATTGCTGTTTTAATAGAAATAGCAGATACAATATGAGGTCAGAAGTCACTGAGAAGCCTGTTAACTTCTAATGATTGCAGATAGCTGATTTGCCAGCACATCCCTCTGTCCCTGGCTCTTTATCACATTATCCTCACTATGTGCAAGGCTTCACTCCTGAGCAGCTGCATGTGCTAACTAATGTAGAGCATATAGGAGCTTTACTGAAGCGAGCTTTGGCTGCCTTATGGAACTCCTAGCACTGCAAAACTCAGCTGTCATTGAGGGTCCAGCCCACCAGCTCTTAGAATCATAGAACTGTAGAATGATTTGGGTTGGAAGGGGCCTCTAAAGGTCATCTAGCCCAATCCCCCTGCAATGTGCAGGGACATCTTCCACTAGATCAGGTTGCTCAGAGCCCCGTCCAACCTGACCTTGAATGTTTCCAGGGATGGGGCATCCGCCACCTCTCTGGGCAACCTGTGCCAGTATTTCACCACCCTCATCATAAAAAAATTCTTCCTTATATCTAGTCTGAATCTACCTCTTTTAGTTTAAAACCCTTACCCCTTGTCCTATCACAACAGGCCCTACTAAAAAGTCTGTCCCCATCTTTCTTATTAAGCCCCATTTAAGTATTGAAAGACCGCAGTAAGGTCTCCCCAGAGCCTTCTCTTGACTGGTCTGAACAACCCCAACTCTCTCAGCCTTTCT